CCACTCTTAATAGGGGTCTGGGAGACTAAGAGAGCCCGAGGAGCATTGGAAAGAGTGTTGTTGGGCAAGAGTGCCTGTGTATAACCCTAACCCGGCGCCTTACCGCCTTCCCAATCTGGTTAGCCTGAAGCTGTGAATGAAATTCAAGGCCCTCCTTGAAATTTCCCATCCCTACCGCCAATCCGCACTGTGCGAGCGAGGTCACGTGGTTTCATGGCAGTGCTGATGTCTCAAAACCGTCTCAAACTCTCAACCAACTTTCAGCTCCAAAAACAACTAAAATTCCTCTCACCTCCAGGCGCTAAAGCGCGAGATGACAGCGACCCAGAGCGAAGCGCTGAATCGACAAGATGGCCTTGCAATAGGGAAATTGTCCATCATCGCATGTTCTCAGGCCAACAGATATGAGGCGAGTTCGCCATCTCGCGTTGATTGACGCCCATGATTTTTTAAAGCACCAAGGGATAACAGGTCGAACAGCGCGGCTGCGCATCACGGGACTTTGAGTTTATGCAAGCCGCAATTACCGACATATGCGAGCACATGTTCGGGAACAAAAAGCTATTGGCCATTAGTTTTACCAACAGGAGCCCCTTGGTCGAACAAGTGTGCCAGGAATCGCTCGGTAACACCTGAAACTGTCTGTCAATCTGGGCCGGGCTTACGGGCCGGTTCGTCGAATTGATCTGCGCGAGAACGGATCCCTGACGCCGGCCCCTGACGCCGGCCACCCAACGCCGCAAGCGCCGGCGATGCGCCGACGGCCCACCAACAACCGGCCAACCACCTCAACTGGGGGAGCCTTTGGAGTTCGGATAACCCACGCTGGACCGCCGGCCCAGTAACGTCCTCCAACATGCCCCGAGACGGCCCAGGTCCGGCGCCAAAGGCCGAGTTTATAAGAGGCAGGGCCGCTGTCGATACCCGGAATGCAATTACCTCTGCTCTGTGGCCATCATAAGCACCTCCTCCACAGAACACCATTCTCACTGCAGTATGCAATTGCGCCAAACAATGGCGGACCACCGCACGAACCAAGTCGATTCGCAAACCGCGGTCGGCGAACAACCTCCTCTCGCCCCCACCCCGCAGAGACAGCCATTCACACTCAGATTCGAAACATCCCCATCACCGGCAGACATCTCGGAAGGCTCAACCAGTCAAGACTTAACCTCTACTTGGTCAAGCCGAACTCCATCAGACTACTCTTCGCAAGTCTCACTGCTGAGAAGCCCACCACCGAGCCAAGACCGAATTCGGGGTACGGACAGCATGTCGGATTATTACAGCTCGCGTGGTGATGCAAATGCAAAGGAGCTAGTCGCTGCCAGACTATGGGGTCCGCGCCGCGCCTCCGACGCGTACTCGCACATGTCGACCGACGCCTTGTACCACGAGACTCTCGGCAAGCTCGATCTCAGGTACGGAACTGGCAACACTTATCTAATTCCCAACGAACCCTCAAGAAACGATGCCGAGCGTGGTGTTAGAAACCAGCGCGCGGAGCATCCACCAACACCTGAACTCCCGCCAACGCCGCCGATGCCGCCAACGCCGGACTTCTTCCGGGAAGTGATTCCCCCTCCATGCCCAACACCTCCGTTAGCCACGACAAGACCAGAAAAGCCCTTCCTCAGCTGGGCCGAGTTCCACCCCTTCCCAATCACCCTCCGGAACCACACGATCCAGAGCCCGCGGGAGGAGCTGATCCACGCTCTTGACCACATCGAGTCGGCCAAAGTCAAGGGCGTCGGCCGGCTTGCACGCCCGCTCATCAACAGACTCCACACGGCGCAGCAGCTCAGCGACTTCCTCGCGCACGCCGAGCGCAGCATCCTACGTCCCTTTCCCGCCGCAGCGCTCTACCCTAACCCGACAGCCCGCGAACTGGACCGGCTCGAGTCCGAACTCTTCGACACGGCCAAGTTCACGGGCAGCGGCGACAACCACGTCACAGTGCTCACCTGGTCAGCCGACAGTCCCCGTGGCACGATCACACTATTCGAGGCGGACCTCTTCCGCAACCGTGACCGCGACGTCTTCCTCAGTCCCTCACCTTCCCCATCGCGCTCTCCATCCCCTCCCGGAGGGGTCTCTTCCCTCGCGCACCGCCGCCGGGGCTCCCTCAAGGCAGCCGACATGGCCCTGCCGCTCAGCAGCAACCGACGAACCCCGCGACGAGTAGGCTGCGCCATGTCCCTGCGGCCCGTGGCAGCCATGGAGGACGTGCCGCGGCAGGTGCTGGTCAACATGCGCACGGACCAGGGGGTGCGCAAGCTGGTGCTCAAGCACGACATGGCTGAAAACCGGTTCCGCTGGGGCGCGAGGTATGGAAGCGAGCCGCGGTACGCACGATTGCTGGACGATCTGGATGGGTATGATGATGAGGATGAGTATGACGGCGTGGAGAGCCGCCGGCCGCATACCGCCCGTGAAAGGGTCGACGGGGGGTATTACGGTCCTGTGTACACGACCTCCGCTAGAAGAACTACTGGTACTACCCGCGGGCGGGGCCCGGCTACCGCGACCGGTGTTCGATTCGCACTCGACGAGGACGTGGACGCTGTCTTGGGCCGACGCAACAGCCGCCGCAGCAGCACCACTGCCAGGAGCACGGGACACGCGCGCAGGGCGCGGGAGCGGAGTTCGTTGCGAGGAGGCCGTGATCACAGAGGAGAAGCGGATTGCGACGGCGTAGTAGCAACAATCCCACAATTCCTAGCTTTACTACACGCGAGCCGATCCATCGTGGAAGTGGCGTCTGCGGGTGCGATATCGGACGACAAAGTCGAGACGGAGGACTGTGAGCGGTTTAGGGCTGTCGTGCTGAGGGACTGGCCCGAGGGCAAGCGCCATACGGGCAGGGAGGTGCATGTTGTCGTGCTGGTGCCGGCCGCCGCCAAGTGGGCTGACGAGCCCATCTTCTGGACCGATGAGGCCAGCAGCCTGCGGGAGTTGCGCCAGAAGAAGTACCGGGATGTGATTGAGGGAGCGGTTCGAAGGCCGAGAACGTCGCGGACGCCACGGACGCCCCGGAGCGGCTACGGCAGGGATCGGGATCGGAGGAGCATCAGCCCGACTCTTCCCAGCCCAGCACGCTCCGCTGCCTGGTGATTCCTAGGTTGTGGCAAGGTTCGATGTGATTTGGCGTACGGAGTATGGTTGGCTTTCAGAGTTTATTCATTTGTTGCTTGACTGTGCAATAAGGCACAGCTAAGGATTAAGGGGAGGATGTTTCGAGTTGTGATAATCGTTTGTCTTGTACAAGTATACCCCACTGTACAAGTATACCCCAGTCAACTACCCTAGATGGAATAGTCAAGACATTTGCTTTTAATCCCACTCAACTTGGCTGTGGCCACTTGTCCAACACAGTTTCCTCCCCCGTAAGTGTAAAGGTAACGTTCGCAATCATCGGTTGGTCCAACTGCAGCGTGTACGTCCCTGGGTATAGCACCCTGTTGCCATCCTGGTCTACCCTTGCTAGACTTTCCAGCTTCCACTCTAGCTGTGTAGTCTGCGTTTGACCAGGCTGGACATCAAACAGGCGCTTGTAAGTCGCAAGCGTCTTGATTGGGTAAGGCCCAGGACCGTATTCTCCAGCAAGGAACCCCAAGGCGACGTAGTCGGATGCCCGCGAGCCGGTGTTGGCCACAGTGATTGGCACGGAAGGGAAGGGGCAGAGGTCAAGGTAGTACGCGGCACCCTTGCAGGAGGCGAGCAAATCTGCAATCGAGAAGGTCTTGGGAAAGGAGTCGTCGACCGCAACATGAAAGGTTGTGTAGTGCAACCCATGTCCGAAGGGAAAGACAGTGTTCCTGTACCAGCGGTACGTCCGTCCAGGGTACGAGCCCGAAGGCCGGAGCGCCATATTGGTGTACGGGGCTTGGTTAGTGTATGCTGACGGGTACACCGTGACAGGCAGTCTTCCGGCTGGGCTGGTCTTTCCAGTGATGATGTTCATGACAGCCGTGCCGCCGTCTTGGCCTGGATAACCCGCCCAGAGGATGGCCTTCACGTTCGAGACGCTGAGAAGGGGCGTATCGTCAACGTGCGTCCCCATCCTGACGACAATGACTGGCTTGCCAAGGCCGGCAAGCCTCTGGATCATGCTCAGCTGCCCAGAAGGCCACGAGATGGATGTGCGATCCTGGCTTTCCTTCTCCACCGTGTTGTCAATACCGCCAAAGAAAATGATCACGCTGGATTTCTGGGCCGCGCTAACTGCCGCTGACGTGTCTGCGCTTGATTGTGTGAGCGGGCCGTTGACATAGTTGACTGTGATGCCCATGGATCTGGCCGCTGTCACCGGATCATGCTTGAACGGCGGGCTTCCACTATACCCACCCAGCATCTTGTCAGCTGTGTTCGCCCAGAAGCCGATCATAGCAACCTGCGAGTTAGAGCCGTTCAGCGAGACGGGGAGGACACCATCATTCTTGAGCAGTACAATACCCTCCTCTGCCGCCTTGAGCGCAAGGTCCCGGGCTATGTTGGTGTTGACGTCTGCAGCGCCAAGGTTGCGATACAAACTGTTGGGCCCATCGAAGTACCCTGCCCTCACCAGCCCCTGCATTTGGCGCAGCATTGCCTTGTCCAGAGTAGCCTGACTAAAGTGCCTGGAGTTGAAGGCAGAGGCGGCGTCCGGCGTCGTGCCGCTTGTTGCCCAGCACATATTGTCGCATCCTGCCTCCAGCGCTGCCCCTATCGCCGCTGCATAGCTGGACTTGTACCGGTGGCCTCCGTTGGCGTTGCCGAGATAGTAAACAGCATCACAGTCGCTGACAATGTACTGGTTCTGGTCGGTCCAGTTCCAATGCTTCCGGAGGATTGTGTCCATCAAGTAGGAGCTTGCGCAGGCAGGGACGCCGTTGACAGCATTGTAACTGCACATGATAGAGCCCACCTTGGAGTCCCTGGCGCATTGCTGGAAAGGAGGCAGATAGTACTCAGCCAGATCCTGGGTCGACACTTTCGCGTTGAAGTTAAACCGCGTAGTGCTGCCCGAATTCTCGAGGTCATACGCGGCATAATGCTTGCAAGTGGCGATGACACGATGAGTAGGTCCTGTCCCCTGCATTCCCTTGATGAAAGCCTCCGCCCACTTCTTGTTTCTGAAGGCATCTTCGCCGGGCGTCTCGTGTCCCCGCCCCCAGCGCGGGTCGCGGAAGGGATTGACATTCGGCGTCCAAAAATCTAGATGGGCCCGCCCATTGTTCGCAAACGCGCGTGCCTCTGTGCTGATGACCACACCCATACGCTCGATCAGTGCATCATCGAATGCCGCTCCGGTAGTGATTGCTTGTGGGAATTGCGTGGCTGCACTGAATTGCCCTCCCCAGGTGATGCCGCGGTTGTGGGCAACCCCGTGGAGAGCTTCGTTCCACCATTGGTACGGACTGAGGCCGAGTCTGGAGACTCCCGGGGAATTGCTGGGGATTATTAGTTTCTGCGCAATGGGGAAGATGGCCAACGCTCACTTGATGAGATTGGCGAGCTTCTCATTGTTGTTCATGGCTCCCACCAAGGCGGCGGCTCGGGCCTCAGGGGCTGCTGAGGTGTCGCAGACCAGGTTCGACCTAAGGGGGCCATTTGCGCAGTCGGGATAGGTGACACCGCCCATCACTGGGGCGACAATAGCAACAAAGGTCAACGCGACGCTGCGCAGGGAAGCCATGGCGATACGAACGACGGGCGCGCCGCGGTGTGTTCAAGCGCGTCGAATAGGTTGAGGGGCTCCCACCTGGCATTTTGACCGATTTTGAGTCCCCGCATAAGGAAACCATAAGGAGTCATTGCCAGCATTGTCAAAGTGGGATTCGAGTTCACATTTAGAATTCCTCCGTCGTAAATTGAACCCCGCTCCCGGCAGCGTGGCAGCGAGGGTCATAATCGGGGAGGAGCATGCCTCCTACGGCCTCACCGTCGTGCCTGTTCTCTCAGGGAGCATGGCCAAGCAAAGAAACGGGTGACAGGACATTGACTAATATCCGTCATGTACGCTCTTCTCAGAGAATCAGAGAATGCGAAGAACAGAAAGCGGAGGGCGCAAATTGCCGGTTATGAATTCATGTTTGTGGCCGCCAAAACTGAGACCGACTGCCGCCAGGGTCGTGACTTGCCCGTTTTCCTACAGAAGTCGGGTATTTGATAGCAGCCGGAAAGAGCGCTGTTGGATAACTTGGATTCAGCCGCCATTGCTGCAGGAGCACCCAACGTTGCCTTAGTGGTCTGAGTCGGATACTCTCCATGAGGTAGTTGCTTATTGGCGGAGCCTGCCTTCCATGAACTTTCGAAGCCCACATATGCATCTGTTAGCTCTTTCCTCATCTAGATCGTCATCTGCAGGCGAGCGAGGGCCAAGTTTCGTGACTCAACATGTCCCAAGTTGACATCGGGTTTTCCCGTCCCTTCGTCCAGGGCCTCGGTCCATCAAAGGCGCGAGGGTTGCGAGGCAGACGCCGTGGTCCATTCGCCATCACAGAACCGGGCCTGTTTCCCGACAACAGTTTCCTGGTCTGAGACTTTGGCTCTGAGTCCTGAGGGTTACTGCTGTGTCACCCTGTCGGTCCCAGCCCAACCAAGCCTTGCCATGTGCTCGCCTGTTTACCGTGGGTTTGTGGCTGCAGCATGAACGCGGGGAAAGCAGGGCTTCCTAACAGGCTTCTATTGGTATAGATATGATGTTATGCAGCAGGGTTTGGTTAGGTACACGCCCTCCTCTAGCTAAGGCAAGACGCGAATCTTGCCGATGCAAGCCCGGGACTCCGGCGGACCCGAAGAACTGTCGAGTCCACGACTTCGAGAAGCGAAAGCGATCCTCCAGCGCCGCAGTCAACAACGAACCAGAATCCTCATGCCAGGATAATCTCTCAGCACCGCCAAGTTCTAGACCTTAGACTCTAGAAAAAGAAATGCAGCAAGAGAAAAAGAAATGCAGCAAGAGAAAAAGAAATGCAGCAAGAGAAAAAGCAATGCCCATGAACCATGCAGTTGCCGCCAGGTCAATACTCGTCTGCCTTCTCAAGCTTGGATTCGTCAACTGTCTGTATCGACGTCGAGGTGAAAGGGAGGTATTGGCCGTCGGGCTGCGGATTCGAAACCAGGATGGTGACCAGACTGCCGTTCACCGCGACCACCTTGTAGACCACGGATGAGCCGCGGATGCGAACAACGTCGCCGTCTCGGAACTTGGGGACAGATTAGCTCGGGACACCGTCACCTCGGGTTTGCAAGGCAGCATACAGTCATCTTGGGATCCCCCCACGACGGACACGGGACGTACGAAGATGCACGCTACTCGCTGTGCCTTCTTCCGTCAGTGCTGGATATTGCCTCCCAAAGGCGTAGCCTAATGGTTACTTGGCCGCTGGCAATAGCCCTCCGGACGCGGGTTCTTGAGTTTTGTGCTTCGCTCGGTGTTGTTGTTTCGCAGATCCACGCATCCAGGACGAGCTGGCCATGAGCTATTTAACTTCGTGGGCGGATACGAGACTCCTCGCTCCTTCCCCATGGACGCCTATCACACCTCTCTAGCCGAGATGATGGCAGCAAAAGCCCAACAGTAGAGCCCGTGTGGAACCAAGGAGCCGTGTACACACCGTTTGGACGTGTGGAGGTCCCATATTACTGTTTCCCGGATGTCCATCTTGGGTCGTCATCGTTGATGGCGGTCAACCACTGAGGTTCATGTGCAAAAGGGCAAACACCAGCAAGCTCTCTCGACCCCACATGCACCTGCCGGTGGCGGATGGAACCAGCAGCTCGGTTGCCGGTGGCGTGACCATATCTTGCTGGCGAAGTGATGCAAGGATCACCTGGCGATTGGCAAAGGCTAGCACTGGTTGCATTGCATGGCGTGCATGACAAGCCCCTTTTGACGGGACTCGGGCCTGTCGTCACCTCCGGCCCTTTTCACAGCCAAGCAACCTGGAAATTCTCCATGCCACCCGTCAAATCCTTTGCCTTGATACCGCCTTCTCGTCCAGTACGAGATCGGCAACTCGTTGTCCTCGTCGGAGCCTGTTCCGGAGGCATGAGGCGCCATCCGTCACAACCCGACTAGGTCGTGTTAAGAGACCTCCATCCCACGCCGCCTAGCGTGTTTCGGAAGCTACCTTACCCAGCTGGTGCTTCCTGGGCTGCCAAGTACTTCCGTCTCTGTTGGGGAGGGATGAGTCAGTTAACAAGATGCCTACACCCGGAATCGAAGGGCCCTCCTAGGCAGCTTCCGGCTTCCATTCGCTGCTGTATTGTACTGTACACCTGGGATGGGCCATATGGCACATTGGTGCTACAGACCTGGAAGGGGAGCCTTAGCCATCTGATCTCAGATCTGATGGAAGATTTCGGGGTCGTTTCCTCAGCATCCCTTTATCAAATCATACCCATGTTCCCGAAAAAAAACCTCAGGCCTGGGACCTCGGCGCAACCGGCCAGCGGGAACCTTATTGCCCCTCTCTTACCCAGCCCAGCGAGCTGGGATGACACAGTAGCTCAAGCTCATTCCAGAGGAGCTCTGGGCACATGGCGTGAATGGCTCGCATTCTCCAGCCGAAGACCCGGATTGGTGGGCGACAAGCGGGAACGTGTCTCTTTCCTGGGCTCGGTGTCTCTTCGCATATCTGGGGTCCCCGCAATCCAGCAAATCCAAGCAACGACTGCTATCGGAACTCACACTTGCTGGTGCGTTATCTGCCACGGGACGTGAACCATCCTAACTGGGCGCTAGGAACCACGAGCCACCGAGTTGGGCACCAAGCACGCAGACCTTGTGTTCCCGCACCTCTGGCCGATGCGCACGGCAATTGGGTACAGAAGAGTGCCCAACATGGCTTCGCGGACCGCAATGATACCGAGAAGCGGCAGCTACTACTTGTCGCAAAGCCAGGTTTTGGTGTCAAGTATGCCAGTAAAATCCTGCCAGTTCGGCACGAGCCGCCGTGGAAGTCGCCCAGAGGAACGTATTTCGCGCACTCGACATCCTCCACAACCCGCGGCATTCCCAAAGAGGGAAGGGAGGACACGGCGGGTGTCTTCCCCTACCACGCTCCAGGCTCACCGTCAGATGCCAAAGATACCCCGAGTTACGGTAGATGTTGGCAGCGCTAAAACTTTTGCAGCCGGCCGGCATTTTTTGACGCACGCTAGTGCCAAAAGACTCGCGTTCAAAAGGGGGATCTCTATTGGCCCCGAGTGACCCCCGACTACCCGATTCTCGGATGGACGGCATGGTGGGATTATTCTCTGCCGCAGCAGCCGCTCGTCGGCATCCATGACGTGTTGCTGACCAATTGGCCCCCATGCTCTGTCCCTGTGTTGTCGGTTGTTGGACTGTCTGCGACAAAGTTGATGTCGATTTTGGCTTTTGGATTGCCGCGCTCAGAGGGTTGCCCAGGACGCCACGGGAGGAGCGTCAGTGCGTCACCGCCCCCGGCGCCAGCCGATGGCGTGCGCCGTGCGCTGCGGAGCCTCCGACTTAGCAGAGCAGGGACTCGGTGGAGCAGTTTGTGTAACCCCTCACGAACTGCCCGCATTCTCGGGACATCACGCCCCTTTCCGAACGAATTCTTTCACGTCTCTTTCCCTCGACGTCATTTCACTTGCAATCTAATCTCCTTCTGCCATACGAAGTACTAGGTCCGGTTCATGTCGATGATGAACCTGAAACTACGGTCCAACCCCGACGGCTGGAGAGATATGTTCAGGAAATCTGGCTGTGTGCGGTGTTCATGGGAAGGACAACCGACAAACCGCCTTACAACAGGGCTGGTTTCCGTTTTGGAAATCATGTTAAGACAAGTTAGTCGGGCAATGACTGGGTCATCTCAAGAGCCGGATCATCCTCAACGACACTCAAATTCTTATGCATGGTTTGACATGACAGCAAAGTTAGCTGTCAGCCAAACTTCGCCAGATGAGTTCGAGTCGCTACGAGTCACAAGTGTGTCTACTTCTCCGCGATCTCATGCAACCATCTAGCACACTCAATCTCGAGTATCAGTTTCGGGGCGAAGGTGATTTAAGCTGTCTTTCATATTTCCCACCCATCACCTGATTAACCGCCAACAGCTTCCCGAGCCACCATCACATCAACAGGATGTCCCAAAGCCGACCCTAGTAATTCCTGTCCCAAACCAACACACAAAAAAGAGAAATGAAAATCCCAATCCATGTCCCAATCCACCGTGTACTCCATGCTTCATCACCCCAAGACAGACCGAGACTCAGAGCCAGAGCCAAAATGCATGTCAGGAGGTCGATAGGGAACGTAGCCGCAGCTAGTGGGCTTCGGCGCACTGGATCTTCTTAGCCATGCAACGCTTGCAGGACTCGACGCGGGAGCAGCCGGCCTTCTTGGTGCGGCAGCGCTCGCAGGCGGGGAGCGTCTTACCCTTGGACTTGTTGGACTTGTTGGCCATGTCCGCACCCTGAGCAGTGGACAGGGAGCAGTCCACTCCGTCCTTGAAGCAGCGCTCGCAGCTGTACACGCGCTCGCACTTGGCTTTGGCTTTTTTGCAGCCGGCGCAGGCGCCAGGCTTGCCTCCCTTCTTCTTCGGCGCCGGCTTGGTCACGCGGCCGGACTGGACGGCTGGGCCGCGGGAAGCGGGGGCAGGAGCAGCAGCGGGCGCAGAGGCGGGAGAACCAGCGGGTGCTGGAGCGGGAGCAGCGGCCGTGGTGGCAGACTTGGCCTTGGTCGGGGTGCCCGAGGCGACAGCCTTGCCAGTGCTGGTCGCTTTGGCGGCAGTGGCAGCGCTGCCCGGCCTGGCTGTGGTGGCCGAGGCGACAGCCACATTGCTCGCGGTGGCGGCAGCGGTCAGGTCGGCCACCACGACGCCAAGCGCCTCGACTGCCTTGTCGGCGAGGGCCCGGGCCCAGCGCGCCGAGGCAACGTTGCCACCGCCGCCATCGCTGCTGACCAGGTCAGCGAGCGTGCGAGCAGCCTGCACCGCTCGGATCTTCTCCAATGCTTTGGCGGCAAGCGCCAGGTTCTCTTCGCCCATTTGGGCCTCTTCGATCCAGAAATTGGCGACAAGATCCAGGCGGTAGCCTGCCTGAAGATATCCGTTGGCCAATTCCTCGTCGAGCATCTGCGCCAAGGGCGCCCGACGTCCAGGCTCGCCAACGGCAGTAGCCGCAGTCTCCCCAGGCCTGTGCAGGGTGTATGTCCCGTCCAAGTAGTATTTCTCCCAGGACATGAGAGGCCGACCATTCAAGCGTGAAGAAGACTCTGCATTTGCGTTAGTTTGGCCATCACCCTCAACCCGCTGCCGTTGGTTCTCAAGCTCACCCGAGTTGCTGTGGTTGGTCCCATTGACCATGTTCTCGACGATTTCCTCGTCACCGCGGCGGACAATGGCTGAGGCCTTGCCCTTGTTGGAGGTCTCATTGTGCTTGTCGGAAGAAGTCATCTTGTCTGAAAGAAAGGGAGTAAGTCACTGAAAGGTCGGACGACACAGCACTCAGGTCGGATGAGATGATCACTTACTTTGTGATGAGCAGCGACGATAATGAAATCTTGTCGATCGGTCGGATGTGCTGCGACTCTCTGCACCGATGAGAGTCAGCAAGCAAGCTTCATCCGAGCATGATAATACGATGGCTCCAGCAAAGAATAAGGGAACCTTTGATGCTTACCAGGTTATATAGATCTTGACGCATGGAGAGAAGGTCGGACGACTGGCAGGCGATTCCGACCGATGGTTGAGAAGATGGGGTTGATGAAGGTGTGGGACAGAATGGCAAATCTGCTTTGGGGATGGGAGAAGAAGTCACTGGCAGTAACTTTTCCGATCGGTGGTTGAGAATCTGGAGTTGATGGAGGTGAAGACGTGGGAGAGAAAGGCAAAACTGCTTTGGGGATGGAAGAAGAAGAATCTGGAGTTGATGGAGGTGTGGGAGAGGAAGGGAAAACGGTTTGGAGGGTTGGAGAAGAAGTTACTGCCAGTAACTTCAAGGTGATGGTAGAAGGGAACAAAGGGATGGTCTTCCAGGTCAGGAAACCTCTGGCAGAACTTGGTGAGTGGTGATGGGAGTGAGGTACCTGGAAAGGGTAGGGCGCGCTCGCGAAGTGGAAGTACCAGCACACCGAGTTTCGGTGTTTACTCCTTGGAGATGTTTGCGGTCTGAGAATCTTGCCATCAAGCCCCATGTCTATCTTCCGTCCCATCTCCTCGCTCCTTCCTGAGATCAAGAATAAGCAGCAGTCTGCTAATGCGAGATATAGTTCAACGCGTCTAGGTTCAGAGAACATTGGCATTGAACTCTGGCAGCACGACGAGTTGCAGTTCCAGTCACCATATAAGCTACAATCACGGCTTTGTACTTATTAGCATTGGGATCACGAGAGCATAAACCTGAATCTCTAAGACTGCCTCAAAGCATCTGTCTATCCAAGATCCGTTAAAGAGTGGCTGATAGCAGTGAACAGTGGCGCAGGTGGCGAATCCAGACCATACTCAACCGTCACGGAAGGAACGCGTCTACTGTCCACAGAACATGGGGGGCTCGCGTCACCGCGTCACTGCAATAACGCGTTCGAGAACCGCATTCTTGAGGTAGGCCATGGCCCAGCATCTATTGCCAAGGAGTGCTTCTACTAATCGAAGACCTGTCTGACTGAGTTTAGGGACTCCTAAGTGGAGACGCCAGCTTAAGAGCCGCTCGTGGCCGGGACACTTCGAAACCGAACGCAAGATCAACTCAGATCAAAGGGGGATATTGTGGGATGGAGAACCAAGGCACAACAAGATGAAAGTATAAGGTTCATTACGGGCTATCAGACCTACAGATTGAAGACAACAGGATTGAAATTGCACTCTCAGCCTTACGAGATTGACCGGGCGTCGGGAGAACATGGAGATATTGAAGCTGCTATCCAGGTTCTGTTTTCCCCAAGCACCTTAGGGGAAGAGGAGGACGCTAAAAGGCATTGTCCACCACTGCCCACCATACACGATATACCAGCCGTGACTCTCGATGGGAAATCACGTTGATATGACAGCTATGTCAGAATGGTGCCAACCAACGGAGCTAGGTAAGCTTCATCATGGCACTAGCAACTCTTCAAAGCGAACCTGAGATACTAAGGCAAAGCTCGGCAAATTTGTCAAGATGCTGCACGAGGGTTAAAACTGGAATAGGGACCTCTCTTTCACGGCATTGGTTTACGAAGACAACGAAGAACAGAAGAAACATTGCGATGAGTGTAAGGTCGAGCCAAGTACCGACGCCGATTTTGGTTACTATGTAAGGGGTTACCCTTTTTTCCACCAGGCCACACACTGTCAGGCCACCAGGCCACGGAGAGCATGAGTCAGCCTTGGTGTTTATCGTCGCGCAGCTTGGCCATGCCAGACAGGTGTGAGGAGCGGATCGGATCATAGGAATGGCAAGTTGAAATGCAAAGACGTATTGCAGCCCCCCTGGAGGAGATGCCCTAACTGGAAAGAAGCTGACATATGGATGCCTATCTTGTTAGATACCACCTACCATAGTAATGGTTGATGCTACCGGCCACGGGGCTCAGGAGGAAAACAGGAGGTGGCATGTACTATTGGACATATACTCAAGTAAGCCCAGCGAGTTCAATGGTTGCCTACTACTACTAGAGACATTTAGGAGATTCGCAGGTCTAATCTCCTCACATGATACCGAGTGACAAGAGATAGCGGCCAGCTCTGGGCGGCTGCGCGGGGGACAATGCAACGGCTTGGCGGTCATGGTCGCCCCGATGCTTAAGCAACCTTCCTCGTTGGGCAACTCCCCTGGGCACCTCAACGGCATTCAGAAAGTTGCAGTCAGGGTGCTGCCAACTATTATGCAAGATATAGCCAGCATTGTTTGTCTCTGCAGCACTTGGCTCCCACCGTGACCGGCAGATCGCTGCGCTATTATGGAAGGTATTATGGAAAAGGAGTAGGATCGCGCCGGCTTTGGCTCTTGGCGGTCCACCAGCTGGGCAACAGCTCACGATGCTATGATAACTGCAGTACCGCAACGTTGACCTGGAGCATCTGGGAGCGCTATTGTTGATGGAGATAAGAATAGGGCGTATCCCCCGGTACTTGAACCAAAGAATGCCATCACTGATCAAAGAGACAGTCAGACAGAGTCGCCCGCTCTGACAGACTCACAGCAAGCCATCATGAAGACCGCCACAGTCCTCCTCACGGCCGTCTCGGCCTTGGTGCCTGCCTCTGCTGCCTCGGAACTCATGTCAACCCTGAAAAGGCTGAAGCTGGATGCGTGGGCGGCGCAGTCTGAGGCTGGCATATTCGACATTGATCGATATGCCGCCCAGGCCGCGACCCCGTGCGTCAACGGCAAGGCGGGCGAGTACGCGTGCAACAATGTAGATCTGGTTAGTTTTTTGAGACATCAGGACATGGGATCGAGCACTCGGCGCGGCAATGACATCTGGGGTGAGCAGGACACTGGCCCCCCGAAGTTGGAGTTGGATATCAGTGTTGCTGATAACTCCTTACAGGCTGGACTTCCTCCACGGGACGTGAGTTCGCCGCCGTCGGGCAGACGGACGGCACGGCCTTTGTCGAGGTCAAGAGCGACGGCTCGCTCGTCTACCTCGGACGACTACCCACCCAAACCACCAGCTCATCGTGGCGCGACATGAAGGTGATCGGCGACTACGTCTACATCGGCTCCGAAGCATCCCGCCATGGCCTACAAATCTTCGACATGAAAAAACTCCTCAACCTCTCCCCCTCCTCCCCCAAAACCTTCAGCACCACCAGCGACCTGACAGCGCACTACTCCGGCTTCGGCAACTCGCACAACATCGTCGCCCACCCGGAAACCAACATGATCTACGCGGTCGGTTCCGGCGCATCAGGCTGCCGCGGCGGGCTGTTCATGCTCAACGTGAGCAACCCTGCCCGCCCTACCTCGCCGGGATGTCTATCTGCAGGTGGCTACGTGCACGACGCGCAGTGCGTCATCTACCGCGGCCCCGACACGCGGTATACCGGCCGCGAGATCTGCTTTAACTTCAACGAGGACACGCTCGACATTGTTGACGTCACGTCCAAATCCCGCCCTACCACGCTGTCGAGCACGGCATACAACGGGGCAAGCTATACCCACCAGGGGTGGTTGGCTGATGAGGAGATGCGGTTTTTGTTGTTGGATGACGAGCTTGATGAGCAGACCCGCACCGGGCCGGCGGCGAATCAGCGGACTACGACGTACATTGTGGATGTGTCCAACTTGACCAAGCCGGTGTTTACGGGGACGTATCAGTCTCCGGCCAAGGCGATCGATCATAACCAGTATGTCAAGGACGGGCTGTCGTACCAGGCGAACTATGGCTCGGGCTTGAGGATTATTGATGTGAGATCGCTGAGCACGGATCCCACGGGGAAGGGGATCAAGGAGGTCGGGTTCTTTGACTGCTACCCGGAGGATGATAGCGTTGGGGGTATTGCTGAGTTTACGGGGACTTGGAGTGTGTATCCGTACTTCAAGTCGGGGTATGTGCTGCTGAATAGCATTGAGAGGGGGGTGTTTTCGCTCAGGTATACTGGGAGTTAGGGGGTGCTAGTGTCCATGTCTTACGGTTAGCCGCTTCTGTGGATATTTGCATGGTGGTATAGCTCGCGTTGTTGTAAATACTAGGAGGAATAGTAGTAGGACGACTATTTACGAATAATGAATATACTACCCAAGTGCTTTTGAACGTACGCTTGATCCAATTATTCCCCCCCCTGAACGACTCAAACATCCCCCCTGCCCCCTGCCCACTCATACGGTAATCGACCCAGTCAACCTAACATCCCTCGAACTAGCCCCCACACTGACCCCAAACTGGCCACTCGGGACAACCCAGTTCTGGCGGCCCACGTCCCAATAGCTCAAATCCCTACGGCGCAGGTTAAACGTCGCCGTCCCGCTGGCGCCGGGGTTCAGTTTCAACTTGGCAAACCCGCGCAGCTGCTTGGGCGGCGTCGCCGGCGCCGACGACGGCAGCGTAATATACAGCTGCGGCACCTCGGCGCCCGCCACACCCCCCGAGTTGGTAATTTTGGCTGTGACCGTCGCCACCGTCTCCCACAGATCCGCCGGCCCGCCGGGCACGGTGGCACCGGTCGCGGGTCCGGCTCTGGCGGTGGACGTGATGGTCAGGTCGGAGTAGCTGAAGTTGGTGTATGCTAAGGGCACGGATGGTGTTAGCAAGGTGATACTCAGGGGGAGGCTAACGACGGCTTACACAGCCCAAAGCCAAACTCGAACCGCGGCTCGATCCGCGCCTGGTCGAAATGCCGGTAGTCGATAAACAGACCCTCCCGGAAAATATCATCGCCGCGGACAACGCTGGTACCATAATCCGCTGCGCTCTTGCCAATTGTGTATGGCAACTTCCCCGACGGCGAGGTCAATCCATAAAGAATATCAACCAGCGCGTTGCCATTCTCCTGACTCGGCAGGCCCGCCCAAACAACGGCCCGTACGCCCGGCGTGGCAAGAATAGTCTCGAGAATGATCGGCCCAACGCTGTGCAACACAACAATCGTGTTCTTGTTAGCCCCGGCAACGGCTTGCACAAGCTGATTGCCATTATGCCATGGCTCGAGGTCGTTGCGGTCCCCGGCGTTGCCCTCAACGGTAATGTACCCCTCCCCTGAATCGGCCGTGATGACCACGATGGCAGCATCCGCGCCCGACGCCACGCCCGACACCCCGCTGGTGCTGTCGGTGCTCTGCACGCTGAGCGTAGTACCATCGCTCTGCGCCCGCGCGCGCAAAGCGTCGGCCGGGGACACAAAATACGGGTAGTTTGTCGTGCCAGAACCCCAGCCCATGCCCAGCGCGCCCGTGTTGCAGCCCTTGTCGGTGCAGGCATTCATGCCCTGGGGGTTGACGACCGAGGCCGAGCCAAAGAGGGCAATTTTTCTTGGCTTCTGCAGCGGGAGAATCCCATCGTTCTTGAGCAGCACGATGCCGTCCCGCGCAACGGCCCGCACATTCTCCTTGTGGTTGCCCTGCACGTTGGCGCGGATGTTGATTGCGGGATACCCCGCGTTCTGGCCCAGGAGGTACCACGAGGCGAGGATGCGCTTGGCCATGTCGTCGAGCCGTGCTTTGGAGACCTGGTTGCTGTTGACGGCGTTATTGAGCTGTGCGCCCCACAGCACGTTGCGCCCATTGTAGTCGCTGCCCGGCATGGTCATGTCCATGCCGTTGTTGGCCGCCCCGTTGGTCGTGTGCTGCGCGTTCCAGTCGCTGAGCACGTAGCCCTGGAAGCCGAGTTCCTTTTTGAGGAGCTGGTTGAGCGCCTTGTCATTCTCGCACGCCCACGAGCCGTTGAGCTTGTTGTAGCTGCACATGACGCTGGCCACGTTGGAGTGCACGGCGTCAGCAAACGGCCACAGGTACAGCTCGTGCATGGTGCGGTCGTCGATGTTGCTGCTCATGGTCTCGCGGTTCAGCTCCTGTTCGTTACCGATGTAGTGCTTGGCGTTGGCCTGCACGCCGACAGACTGGAGTCCCTCGATCGTCTCGGCCATGGCAATACCCGCAAGATAGGGGTCCACGCCAAAGCCCTCCCAGTTCCGGCCGCCGTGGGGGATCTTGCCCAGCGCCCCGGCTACGGGGCCCAGCAGCACATGGATGCCGCATCCCTTGGCCTCTTCGCCCATGTAAACCCCACGCTGCCGCATCAGCTCGACATCCCACGTCGAAGCGGCTTGGATTCCCGGTGTGAACGCCGTCGTGCCCGTTCCGAAGCGCACGCCGAGCGGGCCATCTTGGAGGCAGAGCTGCGGGTAGTTGATCGAGTTGATGCGCGCCGTGTTGCCAACGCAGGGGCCCTTGTCCCAGCCAATGCCGGTTACTATGTTGATCTTGTCCTGCTGCGACATCCTCGCCAGGGCAGCAGCAGCTGACGAGTGGGCGGCTTGCCAGGCGGCCGCCCCTGTTGGCGCAGCACGCGGCACCTTGCTGCCCGTCTCAGCCTGGACAAGCAGCGCCGTCACCAGTAACAGGAATGTGTGGAGAGCCATGGTGGGCCAGGGACTTCAAGTGCTGATACCGAGGCGCGATCCTTGGAGAGACTACCTTCTACCTCAGACCACCCGCACAGTGTATGACAGCCTCGAGAGGCCGCAGGCCCCTTATAGAGCCTTGGCCAGATACGCATGCTGGCTGCTTCCACATTGGACCGACGCGTCTGGGGTAATAGATCACCGTCATATGGCACCCTTCCCCACATCTTCATCTATGTTCAGATCTCGCTTGTGAGCGCCGTCTCAATCAAGGCAGGAACGGCGGTTGGCCGCCGAAGAGGCCAAGGGGGTGGGTTCGCAGCAGTGTGGGGAAACAACTTAGTCGATCGTGGTAATATGTAGGGCACTGTAGGTAAGTGACGCGAACCGGAGGGTGCAAGGCCAAAATCGGATCGGCATTGGGCGATTTCGAAATGCGGAGCGACGCCATGGCCTGGCACGGTGCCGATGTGCCGACGCGGGTGGCATGGCTGGGGGAATGGTTCCGAGCGGGTGTGGCAGCGCGGAGACGCATGATCAAGCATTCATAGCCGGGCCGCCTTGCCTGGTATATATTAGGCGGTGCATATCCCCCCATTCTCCCCGCCATGGCTTGTGGACCACGGCCTAAAGCTCCGCCAATCGAAGTGTTCTTGAGAAACATTTGCTGGTTCGCGACTGGCTGGTCCAAAGTCCCAAGAACTCTAAGGAGGGCACTCTCAGGGCGTTCGGATATGTTCGCTCCTTCTTCGGACCTGCCATTTGCGTGGTGAAGAAGTGGATTTGTCTCAGTGGTCAGAGGCGCTGTGTAGGCAAATGGTATGATGGGCGATAAGGTGATGAATACACATGGTAGGCAGGCGCAAAAACTCAAGCGCAGACGGAGCCTGGGGCTAATCAGGAACAGGAAAAGGGAGGAGTACGGATAGGGTAAACAGGTTGTTGTGCCAAGGATACCAGCCCTTCCAGTTACAGGACTGGGAGGTGAAAGAGAGTGATATTCACCCATATTCCTTAGATGACGTTGAAGTGCAGTTGAGTTGTCCAAGAACTTGTGTCTCTGAGTATATATCTGATCGCGATGGTACGTGCTCATTGCATCAGAATCAAGCGTCCGCTGGGATGGATATTGAACTTTGAAGTTGTTTTGTCATTCTCACCTACTTGCGTGTCATTCATTTGCATGTCAGCGTGTCAATGCAGGAATGCGTCGCTCGGACAAGAACTCACAGAGAGGCTATAGCAGATGTCACCTTGACTTCAACTGCTATATAGATAAGCAGAAGGCTGTGTGTGCTCTCTCGATCGCTGGACTACCGACGTTGGTTTGAATTCAGATCCAATATGTTCCTGCTCGTAAGCAATATTGAGACACGGATGTTCGCGATGTGTAAGGCAACGGACCTCAGATAGCTAGGTAGGTAAGTGTTCCTATGGTTGTTCACCCGTGGTTCTCCAAGTATGATATCTTCCATTGCTGTTGGTGGAATTGCGCTTCACCAGTAGACTACCTAGATACCCGTAAGCAAAGCCGTAAAGGGACCAAGGGTAGGCCCGCGTCAATTAGCTCCAGGGGATGACGCCTAAGGCCTAGACAGCATTCCTTTCGACACCAGTGCCGCAACGAATGTCTTCACACCCTTGATCCCAATCTTCGCGATTGGCTTAGCAGCCTCCTCATCGCTCGAGACCGAGGGATCGAAGGATGCCACCGTCAGGGACTGGGGCTCCGACAGGCTGACGGTCCCCTCAAGGCAGGCATAGAGATCATGGTCCAAGAGCCCTCCAGGACACGCAAACTGGTTCGGCTTGCCCAAGGAGACATCCAGGCAGTCAACATCGAGATGCACCATCGTCGGCCCCAGCCTCTTGCTCTCCAGCACCTGCCCTAGTTGGCCCGCAAAATCAACTCCCTTCCCTTCCTGACCCTGGCCGCCCCAGACCACATCAAACCCGGCGTCCACTACCCTCGCCCGTTCCATCTCGGTCACGTCCCGCATTCCAACATGCACAAGCTTCTTTCGCAGATCCATCGGTCTGAACCCTTCCACCGTCGCCAGCAGCGCCTTCCAGCACAAGCCGGCAAGCATCGCAATAGCCATCGAGTCGAAATACCCGCTGACGACCGAGTCGGGCGTGTTGAAGTCGTCATGGGCATCGAACCAGACGCAACCCAGTTCACCGTTGAACAACACCTGCCCGGATTCTGACTTGGCGGCAGACGCAGCATGCAGCCCGGCCGCCACGCCTACCGCGGCGGTACAATTCCCCGCCAGGACAATGGGAAACGACCCCGTGCTGCGCGCCCGCTTGACTGCCTCCGATGTCCGGCGGAGTATCTCGAAGCTCGCGCCGATTTCGCCCTGGTATTCGCTAGGGGAGGAAATACTGGGGAGCTCGAGCTCGTGGACAGTAACATTGAGGTCTGAAAGAGCGCTGGCGAGGCCATGGGCAAGCAGAAAGGTCGGTCCCTGTCCCGGGCCGACGTCGCGCTGGCCGACGTGATAAGGGGAGGAGATGATCGTGACCGAACTGAAGGTTGGAGCCGCCATATTGTGGAGTTGATGAAGGGGCACGAGGCAGCTGCCCTTTGAAGCTACGGGACGGTAGTAGCCTGGATTAACCGGGTTTTCGGCGCAGATACTGTGCTTTCACGGTTAAGTAGTCCTGTCCAGAGTGAGTCACAACTTGAAGTCGCTTCATCACCCTCATAATTGCGATGTCAGAGAAGTGGAGTATCCGGAGTAATTCCACACCTAGCGTGTCGTGATTTTTCCAGGACGGTTAGCCTCAACTAGGAGATACCTACCTCTCGAAATCTCTCGTGAGAGACAACCCAATGGCATGTCCAATGTTACCTTTTCTCAACTAAACCATACTCTCCTTGGGCTGCGGTCACCGGATCCCATCTAGGTAGCATTGTTGGGCATGTATTACTGGAGCCTAAGGACAGGCCTGACCACGTTTTCGCCCGACGATAAAGCAATAGGCGCCTAAGCTGCCGGCTTAATGGTTTGTCGAAGCGAGCATCATTGCATCAAGCTGGTAGGGGGTTGACCATGGTCCCAAAACCCTTTTTCTGTTTTGTGGTTGAGTCAAGGCTTCCCTCAGTCAACTGCCAGGCCATTAGCAGTGATGTATGGAGCTGCGCTGCGAATGCAAACGGTCATTGCTGGATGCAGCAGAGAATATCCGTAGCACAGCTCTTTGATGCGCCAGTTGAAAGAAATTTTGGCAAGCACGCAATACAGTCGACGCCTATGCACACAAAGTCGGAGGAACATCACGGCAAAAGACCGAATCTTGAAGGTGCAACAGTTTGAAGTGCAAGTGCAAGCCAGCAACAGGAAAATGATCCCTCCACAAATTTGGTCCGTGTCACAGGTGGTAAGCTCCACGGCACGTGACGTCGCCCTCAACGCCCCAGCTGTTTCCGTTTCGCAGCCGGCACCACCCCACTTCACCGTCCCAATCCCCGTACAAAAGATCCGCAAACGATCCGCCATCAGGCCGCCAGCGTTCAGTGTCACAAAACGGTGCCCTTTCAGCCCACCAAGACATTGCACATTGATCCTCGCTGACTGTCAGGATCAGAGATGTGCGGCCAGGGCTGGGTTGCCCTCAAAACTGACCTGCCGAGTGCAAGCTTCTCTGGGAGTTGTACTGAACGTTAACTAGTCCTGGGCAGTCAAGCCTGTGAGCCTGTCTAGCGGTGGTCGGATCCGCTCTTCAATCGCCCCTCCCCCCATTCCACCCCCCTCCGTTTTCCACCCCTTCGGCCCGACCCCAGCTCGCCCAAAACTCCATCGCCACTCGGACGGACCAAATCCGCCATCGGCCAAGCCGCGGGCAGGCGCCGTGTCGCTCAGCGCCTCTCCGAGGGTTCCACCCGCGGACCGCAATGTCCGACGAGGACTACACCACCGCCGCCGGCGCCAGCAAGGCCTCAGGCCCCGGCTCCGGCAAACATCGCGGGCCTCGCTTCACCTGGAATCCGCAGTACGAGGCCACCTTCTTCCACTCCCTGTGCGAGTCGGTCCATCTCGGCCTGCGCGATGGAAGCACCTTCAAGCCCGAGGCCTGGGAGCGCGCCACCCAGGCCCTCATCGAAAAGCACAATGCCTACGCCAACAAAAGTCATCTCATCAACAAGACGGACAACGCTCGGAAGAAGTACCGTCTGTGGCGTGGGCTGCGCGAAGATCCCGAGTTCTTCTACAACGCCCAGACACGCACCGTGACGGCGACCGAGGATGCGTGGGCGAGGCATCTCCAGGTGCGACGACCGCACCGCCGCGTTTGTGTTGGGTTGACTGCTAACCACCCCATGCATTGCAGAAAGAGCCGCTCGCCCGCTCCCTCAAAAACCGGCCATTCGACCATGAGGACTACTACGCCATTCTGTTTCCCGACGTGATTGGGTCTGGCGGCGCGCCCAAGCGGTTGACCAAGCCGCGCAGGAAGGGACAGGACAGCATCAATGGCGCCGAAGAGCAGGATGCCCCGGGCGCTGGCATTATGGATCTCCTCGCCGACCACAACTACATTAATCCCACCCAGACGCACATTCCTCCGCCGCTTCCCGCGCCGGCAATGCCCACTCCCATGCCCCCCATTCCGTCTCCGACTCAGCAGCTTTCTCGCGCTCCACCAACCTCCATGCCGCCGCCGCCTCCTCCACGGTCGTCCGTCTCCTCTACTTCGGCACTGACCCCGCCCGAAGAGACAGCGCTGCAATCGCGCAAGCGCCTGCAAGCTCCTGAGGGAAATGCCTCTTCTGGGCAGGCGGACAAACGGCGGCGCACCGTCTCCTCGAGCTACATCGACCTCAGCCAGCAGCAGCACCAAGCACAAAATCACCAATCACAATCCCACCACCATCACCATCAAAGCCACCACCACCAGGCCGTTGCCTCAACCTCCAACTCGACTTCCCACAATACCCCCAACGGCGTGCCCCAACCCACCACGAGCAACAGCAACTCCAACTCCAACTTCAACGGCACCATATCCCCGCTCACCTCTCTACTCAGCGGAAACGCGAACGGAACTGGAAACAGCGGACCCAACCTCTCCCTGTTACCAGAGGGTATCCTGCTCCTCGCCGAGGCACTCGCAGCACATCAGCAACGAAAAACCGGCGGCGGGAGGATGGGGACCCCCAGCAACAATAACAATCTGAGCAGCCTGTTGTTCTCATCAGGGACGGCCTGCTGGCAGGAGCAGGCCATGGACATATTCTTCCGCGACTTTGCGGGCGAGGACATGGACCTGCAGCTCAAGATTGCCGAAAAGGTGCTGGCGGATGAGAACAAGGCCATGGTGTTTTGCAAGATGCCGGATGTGCTGAGACGGCATTGGGTTAAGAGACTCAGGGAGGTGCATAATCGGATTGCATAACACCTGAGGGGAGTCTTTGGTTGTGCCATTGTCTGGAGGACAGAACACAACTTGTCTGAGGTGTGCGGAGATGTGTTGTGTGCAGCGGCGAGGGGTTTTACCTGATAGCTCGTTGATGGTCCGGGGAGGCGGGAAGAATGAGAGAAAAGGATGGGAAGAGTGGTTTGGCTTGATTTCCTTGGTGGTTCTTCTGGAATATCCGCTCCCTTTTACTTTTCCCCCGTTTTCTCTTCCTTTCCCCCCTTATTTCCTCCTGCTTTTTTCTCTTCCTTTTTCTGCATGGCGGCGTTGATACCTGGCTGGCTGGCTGGCGTGCTACTCTGGGACGGAGCGACTTGCTGTAATCGGGCTTTGCCGAATCCATGATATCCGGGCAACGCAAGGCCTGGGAACAAGGAGTCTTCTGCCTTCAAAGCCGGCTGTTTTCTGGGGCGCAGGACGGGGATTCTTGGGAGTTTTCAACCTGGCGTCGCGCAGATACCACATGCACCTACCTGTATTCTTACCTTTCAAGTTTCGGGGCTGGGCAGGGCGTTGTGTATGATTCGGATCATGATGATTTGGGATTTTGGTTTTGTCAATGTCCTCTGGGTATTCGTTTAATGTGCATGAATGTACCGTAGGTATCTAATGTCCACCATGACCAGTTTGCAATTCCTAATGACAGTTTTACGGCCAGGGGTTCATCAGCAACAGCTTTGCATTTCCCCTCACAATCACACAGGCAGGTGTTCGAACAGGAGCATCGTCAGCCATGAAAGTTGATTCAGTGAATGCTATCCACTACCGCAAAAGTTCAGGCTTCCGCCAAAAGAGTGCTACCACCTCCTCTCAAGGACCGTATTGACGATCTGAAGTCCGATCTCCATGAAATGATGCTATCCCTTCGCGCCTCGTCCACCCCGGCTCAATGAAGTCCTGAACAAAAACAAAGAAGGTCAGATCAGGTTGCGGCAACGAGGAATCCCCCGGACCGTGGACGTACATTGCAGCTTGCTCATCGCGAGAGAAGCCCCTTAGCTGTGGCTGCTGCATCCGGTGCAGGAGCACGAGTCACCGCAGCTGCAGTCGTCGCCGCACATATTGGCAGATGTGGATGGGTTGGTTTGTGAGGTTTGAGATTCTGTTGATAGTTGACTCGGGATTGATCAAACTTGTCGAAGTTGCGTTGAACAGACCAAGTCGAGAAGAGGAGGGTGTCCGCCCTATTTATGCTCCTCTCAGGCCTTCATTTGTCAGGCTATCATGTTGCCAGAAGAATAACAGCAGCTGACTTGCTCCCCCGAGTTCCCCGCCTTTTCTTCCCTCCCACTCTTGCGCCGCTTACCAGCAGCAGCACTTGTTACCGGGCTGCTTCAAAGTGGAAGGGACGAATGGGAACATGAACCAGGCACGAACCAGACGCCTTCCAGCGGACAGGTTTGCGGGGGTGGAGCGAGTTTGAACCAAAAACAGAAGGCGCTGCAGTGTCATGATGGTGTGTTGGGACAGTCGATGATTAGCTCGGCGTTTGTCTCCCCACCTTACAGCGCGTCTTTTGGAACCACTCACCGGCCTCTGTGTAGTGTATTTGGAATTCCTGCTAGGTGAGCCGTGGGGGATACAAGAGAAAAACGTACCGGTATTGGACGATGGCAATGTTTTGCTCAACGCCCTAGCCCGGAACGGGTCGCTCCCGTGCAAGCCTCGCCCTGCTTTTGGTTTTGGGGAGAAACGTGGCGGCTGCGGCCGGGCGCGATTCGGACTTCGGTCGGGTGATGGTGGGGTATCAAGAACCGAAGCTGCCGTTCACGGCCCCTCCCAGTCCCAAGCCGGCTACTACTACTAGTAGCTGAGGTGATACGGAGTGACTGCCGGATCCCGGTACCCACTGCCCACGAACCAATGCACGTTCCAAATGGCATCTCTCTGCAGCGCTCCACATTACACCTACAGGTCCATGGTCACACGGGAGTTGCAGCTTGGCAGGAGGCACAGGCAGGCAGGATGCATGTCATGAGACGGACAACAGGATGGGAATGGCATGCTTAACTGTCAAACCCGTGGGGGAAGAGAATGCTTACGTACGGTCTTTGTAGGTCTGGACTGTGCAGCAAGTATGACTGGTTATACGACCGTGACGCTCACACGTCAGCGTCGCCGAGCACGAATAGTACTACTGGTTCATGGCCTCCGAGCCGTGTCCCAGGCGACTATAGTAAGACGATTAAAGAGCCAGCAGTTGGCGAGGCTTCTGCCGACATTACTACTTCAGAATGTCATATGTCTAACCCTTACGTAACTCAAGACGCGGACAGCGAAGCCAGCCCGTGATATCTGATGATCTGATTACGATCCTCACGTCCTCCCCATGGTTAGCTAAACCCGGGCTACCCGGGTCCGCGGGATGTCGACCATAGCAGCGGTGTGCTTTTCCAGACTACCAAAATACCTGTGTAAGACAGGTATGGTAAGTGTAGTACCATTGGGGATTCCCGAGAGGAGAATTGGTGAGCAACAGGACCGGAATGAATGCAGCGGTGCTCGTTCACTCGTGTACTTCTCACTGCGGTAAGCAAATATGGTAACTTCCAGTTGTCGCAGTAATGGTATCAAACCTTCTAAACTCCAGAAGAGACAAAGAGAACACTGGGGTAAATCCCCGACGCTAGATATCCAGTAGGTATCCCTCAGATATTCTGGGTCACACCAGGATGGACCTTCTCCAGTTTAGCCATCAGCTCATCCCAAAGCTGCTTCTGCACCTTCCCGCCCTCTTCACTGAGAACAAAAGTCGACGGACTAAACATGTGCAGGTTAACAACCACACTCTCACAATCATTTGATCTCCTGCTTTCAGACACATACCTCCCAACTTGGCAATCATTCAAATACTGCCCATGCGTCTCCTCTCCACCCTCAGCACCATTCACCACCGTGCGCCCGCCCTCCTCCGCAGTGCGGGACAGCGCCGCCTTCATCAGCTTGAGATAGACCTGGAAAACAGGCCCGCCGTGCCTCATGATCTGGGTGGCGACGAAGCCCGGGTTCACCACGTTTGTGATGACCTTGCCCGGCTTGCTCGAGTTGCTGAGCTCTTTGGCAAACTCGCGCGCCACCAGCAGCTGGATCAGTTTGGAGACGTAGTACCTAAGCAAGCGGGCGGTCAGCAACATGACCCTTAGTAACTCCAGGGACGAACACCTGACGGTGCGGTAGTGCTTCCCAGTACTGACCTCTCCCGCATGCGCCCCTTGGACTTGCCCTCATCAGCCAAGTCATCCAGAATATGACTACTATTCCTCTCAGGAAACTGCGTCATCCAATGCGTAAACGATCCCGTGAAAGTAACGACTCCCGGCTTGCCCGTCATAACAGCCGTCTCGCGGAGCTTCGGCAGGAGCAACAGCGCCAGGAGCATATGACTGATGACATTGACAGTAATATTCGTCTCGTTATCTTCAGCCTTGGTAAACTCCATCATGAAAATGCCGGCATTAGCAACGAGCACATCAATTCGCGGCAGTAGCTGGGCGCGCTGCGCAAAGGCCTCGACCGACTGGTACCGGGCCAGGTCCAGCTCCCAGACCTCGACGACGCTGGGGTCTCGCTTTGTCGAGGCGACGATCGACTTGGCCGCCGCCTCGCCCTTCTGGATCGAGCGGACGGCCAGGATCACCTTTGCCGCCCCGAGCCGCGCAATGTGCCGCGCCGCTTCGAGGCCCATGCCGACGTTGGAGCCAGTGACGATGACGACCTGGTCGGTGAATTTCTTGGTCGGCACGGGGAGTTTGACCCGCAGTTGCGAGTGGAGGTAGCCCCGGAGGTTGGCGAGGTTGGACATGTTGTGAAGGGTGCTTTGGTGACACTGGGTTGATCCGGTCTATGATACAACTCCAAACGAAGAGTCAGTGCTGTGGGCTATAGGTGGGTAGGACGGTGTTGGTGGGCGTCGTAGACTTGCAATCCTAAACGAGTGTTTGTCGGACTGCTACCGTTTGCCTGCCTAGCCTTGGGTTGCAGGACAATGCTCTTGGCTCTTGGGCCTTGTCCGATATATATATCGAGCATGCCGGTCCCGTCGGGTCGACATCGAACGGCATTGCGACCCTGAGAGTCCTTCCGCAAATAAGGTGTTTGCCATATCAATTGCCATTCGGGCATTGCTACTTCGGGGTTCGGCCAGACAAGCGTTTGGCGAGACGGCAGACAAGCATTTTTGCCAAGCCGATTTCCTGGGGTGACACAACCGCCCGACCCCTTACGCTGGTTGACCCGAACCCCGGTTTACACGTGTATCACTCAACGGCGAGGTACTCCGTACTCCGTACCGGACCCAAACAGCCTCGGACCATTCCGCCTCGGACTGATCCCGGCTGTCCGACCAAGACTCTGTTTATACACCGCGGTCTCAATTGTCTCATCGTAATTACCCGATGGAACTTCTGTCCCATCAGTACAACACGCACACACTCATATTAGCTATTCCGGATAGCTTTTTCTTGCGCAGATTCGCACTCGGAACCATCAGACATCCTGGTCTTGAGGGCAACAACGAAGCCATGCCTGCAGCTTTATAATGCGACCCAGCACAGCTGAGGCGCTTTTCCAATCCGTAAGGCGAGTTGCACAGCAGCCGCCGTCATCATTGCCCTAGTACGGTAACACAGCTTCATCTCCCTTGCCGCCGGTAGCACCGTAGCCAACACCCACAGGAGCGTTCCCAGGTGGCCGTTCCACAACTCCAAGGGCACTTTCCACACAGCGTCAACCAGCGCCACAACATCCTCCTCTTTTATTGATTTGCTAAATGGCTCGCGGGCTTCGATTGTCCGGCAATAGATCAGCGACGCGAGCCTCGCAGCGTGGTGAAGCGGCTGGGCGGTGCAGGCCTGATCCGCTGCCCCTGACAGACGACCGTGGAGCCACTCCGACATGGACCGCACTTTCCGCAGCTGCCATGATGATGCTTGTTGCGGCAAAGCAAGCACCGTGTCTAGGAGAAACTCGACGTCCTTGAGCATAGCCGCGGTAGCGGCTTCCAACTCGACGGACGGTGCTGGTTCGGTGCGTCCCAAGGATTCATCGTAGCCTGAGAGGTCCTGCTCTTTAATGGACGGAGGAACTTCCAATGCGAGCGCGCCTATCTGCATCATGCTTTGTTTCTTGTCAGACCTAGCTTGCCAACAGAGTGATGTCCAACTTACATGATAGCGACTCTTGCCAACAGCCCATTCAAGTCGGGTGCACCCAGACCGCCATATATCCCCATCAATCTGTGGACGTCGTCCATACTCGCTTGCAGGGTTTGGATCTCGGAGCGGCAGACATCGCTAATTAGCCGCTTGACCCCCGCCGACATGGCTTGCCCATATGCTGTTGCGCTGGGCAACGTCAGGCCCTCCTGTATGGCTTGAATTGCTCGGCGTTCGGCATCATAGGTACTGTCCAAATCTGCCACGGCGCTTTGACTGAGCAGGCATGCTTCTACGACTTGTGATTCCCCTCGTCAGTCCCTTTGCCGCCGACGTATCTATATGATTCGAAACTAAGTGTCTGAACGTACAGAGAGAAGCGGGCGCATGCGCTGGGCCTCGCTCTAAAATGGGAAGGAAAGCATCGACGTAGGGGCTGGGGAAATCGGTCTGAAACGTGAGCGCGGTGGCTTGGTACCGCTCTACATCATAATTCGTTAATGAGCCGGTTCGACAACTAATTTCTCAGAGATACATACCTGACTGGAAACTCCAGCATGGACTTTGATTTGTCTCGAGTCCGTCTCCGCCGAGGGTTGTATCCGGGAATGCGAATGGCCACTGATCGATCTGGCTAGGCCCCAGGAGGCCTGTCACATATGGCGAAGAGACGATGGTAGCTGAGGGTAGGAAGGTACTGGAAGACACAAGATTTGGTCCTGGGAGAGCCGAGCGTGCAGCAAATCCTGCTACTTTAAGCTGAGCCGCCCTCTGATCGTAAGCAGCAGCCTTAACTAGACCTCCATGGTTCGCTGACAAGACAGATGGACTGTTTTCGTAGTTACAGATGGGCGGAGGCATCCGTCGCGAGCAATTTCGACACGGTTGCTGTTGGTCACACTAGAGCCGTTGAGGTCAACCTAAGGTAATTGCAGGGCCCATTTTAAGGGGGGGGGGGTGCCCTAGGACGCACCTTCTGTTTTCGTCGCCGGCACTCACCGCAAGACCGCATTTTCCTCTCCCCGAGCGTTTTTGATGTTTGATTGAGCGCCATCTGCCCAGACATTGTCATCTTGGACCTGCCAAACCTGGATTCCGATTGAGATGCTCAGGGTGAAGTGGGCAAAGGGCGCCTGGGGTTTGTTGTCACCCAGTTATGGGCAAATTATGAGGAAACTCGAATGCCTCGTGCGATATTAATGCATCACACGCCCCATGAAGAGACCAGACCTATCTGCTCGTCAGCCCACTCGTAGGGCTGCAGCTGTAGCCACGAAATTTCATTCGACAAGGATGCGACGAGGATTTGGCCTTCGGTAGTTACGGCATAGCAGCGCGGCGATTCGTCCGGATCCCTCTCCGCCGAGACATGGCGCCTGCCGGTGCTTCTTCCTGGGCCAGCCACGCCTCCCTTGGGTCGATCAAGACCGTGGTCTGGACCCGAGAGCTCGTCAGGCATCCAGCTTGGGCGCATGTGCCACACTGCCACCCGCAACCACTCTCGGCTTTCGCCGTGCTCAAAAACAGTCATCAGTGCGGCCTTGGGCCTTTCGTTAAGATACCAACTTTGCTGCGATATCCCCAGATGCGTTTTTGTTTTCGACCGATTTTGATTCATTGCATCGCCACTAGCGATTCCTGTCCGGACTCACCACAGAGTCCCAAAGCCTTGCGGAGCTTGGTCGGTGTATACACCATAGAACTTGCGGCCAGCTGGTTATGCAGGCTCCCGAACAGACTCTCAATTCTGTCACCGAGTAGGGATAGTCGTCTCGCGCCCCTGCATATGCACATCTGGAAACTTGAGTTTCCAAGGAAAATGTGGGCGCTTGCGGCATATTCAGTCGGTACCAAGGGTCAGTCTTGCCTTTCGTTCGTGTCTTTGGGAGTTAAGGGTGCCGTGTGAGGGAATCTTTGGACAATGAGGAGCAAAAGTTACTTGCTCCGGGGCAGCGTTCCGCTGCAAGAGACAAGCCTAGCCTCCACGAGCTGCCTATCTATCAATGTGATGGCTGGCTTCTCCATCGTCTCTCCTTCCTGGAGCCTCTCAGGAATCTCTCCATGAATGCCTCCACTGATCGCTAAGCCAGCCACAAATGCATCCAGATCCTCTGTTTCAAGGACCGACCCTTTGAGCGCTCCTGAGCCAGCCTCGTCCCTTATTTCTTGTCGCTGCAGGGGGTCCCCAAAACTTGGGTATGATTCGTGAGTTGCTCAAAACAACGATTATGAGCAGAGCCAGGAGCACACATTCGCGTAATTGGGCGTCTAGGTAGTTCCGTACAATTTCCAATACGACCCTGGGGCATCAACACGGAGAGCCCTCCTGCCTAATGGTGGGTGTTAGATCATAGAATGCTTGTGGGTGCGCCAGGGTGTCAGCACTTGGCAGTCTCAGCCAGCCCTTTTCATTGGCGATGTGTTGGAAACACCTTCTCGTGTCTAGCTTCCGTCCGTTATGGTACTCGGTCTTCACCGTTAGGAGCCAGGTGCGTGATTCGCCAGCCAGCGGTGTGGCTTTGACTTTCAGGTCGGTTCAAGCGGTAACTGAGATAAAGTGTAGGCAGTCTCCTGGCTTGGCCAGATCCAGATTCGAGGAAGGCGTGCAGTTCGAGCGTTGAGACCCTGAACACGGAAATACCAGCGAGTTTCTGTCCTCCGGAGTTATTAATGCTCAGCGTGTGGGCCTTGGTGCTCGGTTGCCCCCAAACGATCAGTCGGGCTTGAAAAGAACGGCCCGGGCACCATGACAGTGGCCCTCAAGTTCCGGTCCGACTCCCGAGACTCGAGCACATGCAAAACGTTGCTCACGTTAGTTCATCAAGATCTTTGGGTTTTGGCCAAGTTGCTCTGCCGGTGACCGCCCCAAGTCGCGGCTGCGGAAACCTCCTCCTATTGGGCACAATACGGTACCAGCCATCGTTAGCTGCAGGGTCTGCCTTGTAGCTCTTTCTTCGCCTGCATAAGGCGGTGTCAGTAACGGATGGCAGCGTTCGGTTCTGGTTCCTCTCGAGTATTGACCGAGGTGATGATTTGGCAAGGCATCTTCTGTTGGAGTTATTGCAGTTGAGACTTTAAAATTGACCTTGTGGGTCTTAGGGAGGCAAATGCACAGACCACAGCTTATCTAGCCTATATCGGTACAGTACGCATCTCGTGGCTTCTCAAACCGAGGAGAGGACTCGGAGGGCCATGCAAGCGTATAACGCCCCGTACATCTGGGTAGAGTTAATTGATGCTAGAGAGCTCTGATGGTTTCTCAGAAGGCATGAATGGTTGCACTGTTCGGACCCGAGATTTCTGAATGGCCCTCATCTCCACCGGTAGCCCTTGCTCCTTGGCGCCGTACGCTTGCGTCACTGCGGGTCGTCGTGAAAAACAGCTCGATTGAGATACACTAGACAAGTATGGAGACATGTCTCATGACACTATGCACAAGGGATGTAAGGAGAATACAAGTAAGGAGAGGAGATAGAACCATAGCCATGACCTTGGTGAACTGGATCCGGAGTCACGACAAGCGAGGCATCAAACACACCCAACCCTTTCGCTGCCATTCCGACCTGCGCGCAGACGTAGCATGCAGACGTAGCATGATCGTCCAACCGCCTATTGATCCTTGGCCCTGGCCTTGTAGAAGTAACTGCGGCAAACACAGCAGTTAGCGGGCAGATCACAAAGGTATAACCTAAAACAGAGCCCTGGGATATACTCACTTGGCAAACACACCCTCCACCGCGCCAACAGCACCCAACACTCCAAGACCAATCCCCATCTCCCTCCACCCCAGTCGGCCCCTATCATACAGCGCCCACGCCTTGAATCCCAGCCATCCACTCAAACCCACAACAGCCAGCAAGTTAGCAGCGGCCACAGCGCGGGCGGGGCCCTCGCCCATGCTCTCGAGGTGCTTGGTGAGCCAGTTATCCGCACGGCGGGCAGCCCTGCCGGCACGGGCCTTTTTGCGGGCGAGGTCGGCCTCGGCGCGCGCGCGGACCTCGGCCTCCTCCTCGGCGGCCTGCTCCTCGCGCTCGACGCGCGCCGCCTGCGTGTCCGTCTGGATGTCCTGCTCGGCGAAGTCGGACGGCACGGTGCGCACCGACGGCGCGTCCACGTCAATCAGCGACGAGGTGCTCGCGCTTGTGGTAGACTCGACCTGGGGCGGTTGAGGTGCCGCAGCCTGGTTGCATGGGAGGAGGTAGGTTAGTGATGGGTGGGAGTGCAGGTGGTGGTTGCTTGGTTGGAAAGGGGGGGACGGAGACTTACCTCCTCGGGAGTCTGCTTGGGGCCTTTGGAGGCGATTTCGGCGTACGACACTGCGTCAAACATGTCAGGTGCTTGGTCTAGATTGAGGCAAGCTGCAGGATTGTCTGCAAACGTACTGTTCAATGTGGTAGTAGGACGGGAAGCGTATTATTCAAGATCCGCGATACTAGTCGCGATGGTTTGGAGTTCGATGGAATTCAAGTGTAGCACGATGATATTGTTGTTGTGCTGTGAATGGAGGAGGTTGAGCTAGTTAAAATGGACATGTGATGGGTGAATACGGGAGGTCAAACCAAGCTTCCTCCTCCTCCGTGACCTCAGAGCAGTCAGGCCTAAACGGTTGCAGCCAGGGCTGCTGGAACAGGGCCTGGTGGGGCATGCAATCCTATCCCGGTTGCGATGACGTCTGCGGTCCCACTCAATTGCAGAATGCCAAGACGCAGAGCAGAAGAGTCAGGTCGCGATGTTTTCTGTGTCCCATCGTCTGGTCTGCCAGATGATGCTCGTCGCTTGAAATGTCTATAGGCCTGAAATTACATGGTGTACATGTATACATCGTACTCATACAATTCTCGCAGGAAATCCACGGAAGTATCTCATCCCAGCATCGACATGCCGTTGCTTCAACATAAATATGCCATGCCGTGCGGATCGTGCAATCACAGAGTCTATTGCCCGTTGCCCTTGTTCGCCTCGGTCGCGTCAACAGCCTTCACCGGAATGCTGTCTGACCTTGTCTCGGTAGGTGGTACTGCGCTCTTCTCCTTCGGCGCTACAGCGTCTCCCTCGCGCGAGGCAGGCGGTTGTGTTTCGCCGGCCGATGCCTGAGTCTCGGCAGGCTTTGCCTGTAAGGCCTCGGCGCCTTCCTGAGCTGGGGCGGCTGCCCTATCCTCGTCGTCATCTGCTAGTTCGGAACCATAGATTTCGGGGTACTTCCGGAAGCAATCCTGCATGTGTCTACGAGACAGTCAGCCAGCCAGATCTCACTAACGGACATTCACCGGCCCGGAAACATACTGGAACTTGTCGATACAATCCATCCCCTTCGGCTCCTCTTTTGAATAGACGAAACAGCTGAACGCTGCCTTGAATTCCTCTCCACACGGGCCGTGAGCCATGCCACCAAGGCAGGGACAATCCCAGTTGATCTCGCCGGTCTCCGGATCAAATGCGCCTTGTTGAGTGGCCTCTTGCTCAAGAGCCTCGGGAGACCCAGGCTCGGGGCTCTCGGCGGCAGCAGGTTCCGCAACAGCAGATGAAGCGCTCTCCGTCTTAGCTGGCTTGGCTTCTTCCTTCGGAACCTCGGCGGTCTTCGTCGGCTCCGGCGGGGAAGGCGGCTGTGGAGCAGATGCAGCGGCTTGCCGCCTCTTCTGCTCGATCACGGCATCGATGGTAGGAAGGTCGGAATCGGAAAAGTGTGGAGGGGCGGCAACTGTTTGAGCTGCAGCCAGGAAGGCGTGTCAGTGGCACGAAGCGGCGAGGAGGTCGGGAGGGAATAGGACGTACGAGGAAGCTCATCTGCAAATATGGGGCTGGTATTGTAGAAGTAGACAGCGGCGATGGCGAGACCCCATCGTAGCCCGGTGCCCTTCCATGTGCTCTTCTTGGCCGCGGGGGCTGTTGAGAGAAGTCGTCTCGAGCTTGAAGCGAGTGTTGGCCGGATGGCGCGCAACGCGCTTGGCGATGATCTTAGTACTGCGCGATACATTATTGCTCTGGGCGAAGGAAAGAAAAGAGGTATCATGCACGCTGAACGGAAAGCATCAAGTGAAATGAACGTGGCCCGCCGCAAACTCAAAAGGTTGGTAATCAATCGATGGATCCAAAATTTCGCGATATCTCGCTCCGGCAGACCCGGAGATTTTCCGGAATGCCGATGATTGGTCAATGGTCCAGATCATGACCCACTCTTCTCACTCTGCTTAAGCGAGAGCAGCTCATCGCACGGACTGCTCAACTTGAACTTCTCACTAAAGCTTCGAACGACTCTCGGATGTGTCTAACGTGCCAACCCACTGCTGCGAGCAAAACCGGTGTACCTACATGGGACGGATTGGGCGGGACCGTCAACAGGACACTGATACGTGACATGATGCACACTTATCCATGGATGCTGCTTCCAGAAGCGGGCCATTCGCCATGACACGCGTAGCCCGTCGCGGCCACTCAACGTTGCGGTCAGTTGCATGGCCGCCATGCTCGAATAAAGATCTGTTTTTGCTCGTGGTACTCAGTCGTTTGGTTATCATATGCACACTGAGAAGTGTTGATGCTCTATCCACCTCCTGAGTGCTCTTTCTGGTAACGCGGGTAGACACGAGGGAGCGCCGCCCGGCGTTCTGCGCAATGGCAATCTCTGAGGGTGGTTGGGCCTGGCGGTTGGACCGCGAGTAGGCTGTTGCCCTCATTAGCTCGACAATCTCTGACAGCGACGCGGACTTTCCGTGTCATGGCTTGGTCCTACGGGTTGCAAACAAGCCAGCCGGCCCTAATCACCCCAGGCGCGGGTACGTTAACTTTGCAGACAACCAACCTTACTCTGCGCCAACTAAACCTACCGAAAATCTTCCTCGCCGAACGAACTCCGGTGTGCAAGCTGTGAGTCCTGCGCAAATCGAATCTTTCCAAGTCGTTGACAGGTTGAAAGTGTAGCAATGGAGGCCGAAACAGCGATGGAAACAGCCCAGGCGCTATGCGAACAGCTCTACAGGACCTGGGAGGAAGCCAACCGACTGGGCAAGAAGTCGTTGGAAGAAGCCACCCGCTTGAGCAAGCTTGCAATCGAGAAAATCAACCTCGTGCATGCCGCCTTAACCTCAGAGGGTCGCCCTATAGATGACGGCTGGGAAGTTGTCGGCGAAGATGGAAGCGAAGATTCCGGTGACACCTCATTAAGCGACGGACCGCTACCGGGTTGGTCGCACACGTTCTCCCGCCAGGAGTCCCCCACACCGTCTTTGTTTTGAGGAAGGAGGTCAGGAAACGACCGACATGCCCGCAAACCAGGCGGACGAGGCGAAGAAGGAGGATCCGCCGACAACGCCAAAGCCGACTGGAAACTTCGACAACAGCAAGTCGAACACGGCGACTGACATGACCACATTTGAGTCTCAATTCATTGGGAGGGCACTGCGTCGGAACTCTCGGCCTTCGGCTCTAACGCGACGCAGCCTGCGGGAAAGGGCATTCAGGACGAGCGGGTGCGTATGCCCAGACTCGAACCCTTACCAGGAATCCTCGCACGAGGACCTGCAGGAAGCGACGGACGGATTCCATGACGTCCAGCTCAACTCTGGCTGTCTTGACAGATGCGACACAAATACACACAATCAGTGACAAGCATCGTTGAGCTATCAGGTAATCTGATGCAAAAGGCTCCGGTCAAATGGGTTGCGTGCAGGGCAGGGGACACTCAGCCAAGGGTCATGGTTGATGCAGAGCCTTACTTCCGATAATAGACAGGCCGTCGATCCGTGCTTTTGTAACAGTAGACAGACCTGGGTCGGACAAATCCACCGAGTTCGGTTGGTCTGTCAATCCTTACAACTTGAATCCAATGTCAATTAAGGTTGTTGTTCATCCCGACTTCATCACGTCAGTTGCACCCCACTTTGGCTAGCTGAGCTAGGGGACCTCAAGATTCACCTGTGCGGGCCATACAGCCTCAGACAGCCCTGTTGCCAACATATCAGTGCAACGATGAGTGTCTGCGACGCAACCACAGACAAGGCGTCGAACATTGTCGAGTGGAATCCGAACGCACTGCTCCGGGATGTGGGGTCCGAGACGCATGGCCAGGGGCAGGATCAAACAACCCGATTTGCTCTGATTGTGCTCAACCAAGCCCTCGACGACCATCTCGATGTTGCGCGTCGCTTGTGGAATAATGGTGTGCATTGTTCGCTCTCACGCAGTCTTACCAAAGCTGACCGGAACAATTCTGAAAGCATCAGTTCGCATCGCTGCAGATGGCGGCGCAAACTGCCTGTACCAAGCCGCCGGGCAGCATGGCGACAAGTCCCTGGCACGTGAAAGAAACAATCTCCCCAGAATGATTAGCTAACTGCTGTTCCAGGACGATCTTGCCGTCATTATTGGCGACCTGGACAGTCTCACACCCGAAGCCAGGGCCTACTACGAGTCGTCAGGTCCATCGTCAGGGCTGCGGGAAGGGACAGCCGTGATCCACGACTCTGACCAAGAGTCGACCGACTTTGGAAAGGCCGTGCACTACATCCGCCAGCACTACCATCGCCGAGATGACGATGCCGCCGCACCACCCCTGGACATCGTCGCCCTCGGCGGCCTGGGGGGCCGGGTCGACCAGGGGCTGAGCCAGCTCCACCACCTGTACCTTTTTCAGAAGGACCCGTGCTACGCCGATGGCCGCATGTATCTCGTCAGCGGCGAGAGTTTGACTTTCCTGCTGAAGGCAGGCCACCACCGTATCCGAGTGCGCGACGGCCCGGCCGGGGAGGGGGACGTGTTTGGCAAGTACGTGGGTATTTTGCCCCTCCGGGAGCCCAGCCGGATTACCACCAAGGGGCTGGAGTGGGATGTGGAGAATTGGGACACTGCGTTTGGCGGGAAGCTGAGTACGAGCAACCATGTGCTGCCGGAGACGCAGGTGGTGGAGGTGACGACGAGCAGAGATGTGCTCTTTACGATTGCGCTGAGGCGGGCGTAGGGCTACCGGTACAATACAGCGACGCGGCAAACAAATACCTGACCCAGAAACGGATCAAATCAGGGGTGGCATGTCCTTTGCCCATCAACACTTCCAAGATTAATGTCCTGGTTAATATCCCATGGCGAAGCAGCACGCGCCTACACCCAGAGCCCCAACTCCTCGCTAGATGACAGTAGAGATGTTTGTACACTCACACGCCAACCGACAGCACAGCACCCACCCACACGGAACCCCACGGTCCCATCCCCAACGTTACCGCAGGTAATGTATCACCAGCCAGCAAAAGAGGAAAAACACCACGACCCCAGCCCAAAAAATCCACTTGTCCTGCCTCGCCCGGCGCTCAATCATACGAATGGTATCCCCCGAAATCCCCAGCGTATTCCCCACCGAGTACAGCTTCCGCTGCGTCGACTTGAGAATGTCCCTCTGCTGGTTCAAATCCCCCAGCACCGCCTGGCCGCGGGCAATGTAGTCATCCAGCGCCGAGTGCGTGCTGGCAAAGAACTGCTGTTCCCTAAACGCATGCGCCTCCCGGGTGACATCCCCGCTCCCCAACGTCGCCGACAACCCACCTACCCTCCCTGTCCCAGCCTCAGCTATGCTCGTCGTCGGCGCATGCCCACCCCCACCACCACCACCTCCTCCAAATCCATACCCAGACGTCGACGCCGCAGGGCTGGTGCTCGCGTACGGATTTTCGGGTGTCGCGGCAGCGAAGGGCCGGCGACCGAGCAGCTCGGCTCTGTTATCGGCGTGTGCGGCCTCCTCGCGGGCGGCTTTCAGGGCGTCGAGCTGGGCGCGGAACTCGGACAGCTCGGCGCGGAAGTCGCGGATGCGCTCAAAGGCCTTTTCTTGCTTGGCCGGGTTGAGCTCTTGTTTTGCGAGCGTGTTGTACTCGTCGATGGTGCGCGAGAAGGCCGTGATGGACGCGGACAGGGAGCCTAGCGCGGCTGGCGTTGGGGTTTGTGAAGGGGTGCCATCGGTGGCGGAGAGGGCTGAGAGGTCTTTGCGGATTGTTGTGCGCTGTTTCAGCGCAGAGTTGAAGGTGGTGTTCTAGTCTCCAGGGGGTGCGTGGTTAGTTGTGCTGGGGATCGCTGATCTCCTGAATGGGTCTTACCATGTTGGCGTTCACGCCCGTCTGTTGACTGCGGTTCAATAGCTGATTTTTCGGAATGGAGCGAAAGGCCTTAGAAAGTAGCGGAATGTGCAGCACCTTGTCCCCGAGCGAGTCGGGGTGGATTGCATCCAGCTGTGGTGACTTGGCATGTGGTTGTCGTAGGTGTTGGCAATGTGGCATTTGGACCAGATCTAAAAGCTAGCTCGGTCTAGCAGGGTTAGGGTTATACCACAGCCAGGGAAAGTCCACTCCATCGCGGAATCTTCAGTTTTCTCAACGCAATGAAGTTACTGAACAACTCAAATGGACAGGAGCTTTCAGGACCCTCACGTCCGGCTTTCTTTGTAAGCATCTATCTGTATGATAGGACGATGATAGGTGGCCATGAGGTGAGTGTTCCAACGTGTATTAACACATTCATTGATGAAGGTGATCATTACATTATATTCTTCCACCTACTCCTCCCACAACACTCATGAAACATGTGTCTTGACCTTGCGATACCGAACAACCTCAACACCCTCCTCGTCAATAATCCTCTCGGCAACAATCTTGTGTCCGCGCACAGCCGGCCAGAACTTGGTCCACAGCACCCAGTAGATGCCGCCGAGGATCAGGACACCGACCCCCACGACAGGGAAGACATAGTACGGGTATCCCTCGGCCCAAAAGTCTCCGTCGGCGGGCGGGATGAAGGGCACGATGGCCAGGAAAGCGTGGCACAGCAGGAAGATGACGATAACGGGCAGCCAGGTGCGCCACGCGGGGTTCCTGCCAGGCAATCCATGTTAGCCAAAGGACTCGTTCTCGGGCAATCTTCGAAAGGATATGGACGCAATATCTTCGTCTCGGACAGTATTACTCCTCGTTCACGTCCGAGAGAGTCGTCCACGGGGATTCAGAACCCCTTGGTCGTACTTACCACGCCTCTGATTTCTGATAGTGCAGGTAGATGAGCCCTGCGGCGACGAAGCTGTTGATCCAGGCGCCCGGGTACGTGTACAGGTTGACGATGAAGTTGTACGCTGGTCCTGGCGGTGGCGCGAGCAGGACAATGACGGTTACCAGCCAATGGAGGAATAACTACATCCCATTGTTAGTCTGGAGTGCTCTGAAGGGGGATAGAGAAACAACATACGGCGGCAGCTGGCGAGTTGAACGGCTTGTTGGAACCCCACAAGCGGCTCAGGGGCAACAATCCCTCCTTTCCCAGTTCCTGGTTCAGACGCGCATGGGCGAAGCTGACAGCCAGAACGTTACCAAGATTGCTCAGAGCAACAAAGACGGGAAGCGAGCGGGCGCCGGCACTGTCACCAAACACGTTCCTGAAGAACAGGCCGGCGACAATCACCTCGGACGTTGCAATATCCGACTTTGGGATGGCGGCAAAGTAGGCCACGTTTGCCAGGACGTAGAGAATGGTAACTCCCCCGACGGCAAGCGGTGCGGCAATCGTCAGCGTTCGGCGCGGATCTTTGAGTTCGCTCAGCACATAATTCGCATTCTCCCACCCCTTGTAGCTGTAGACAATGTTCAGCAGGGCGTTTGAATACGCATACGCGCCGCCGCCGCCATAGCCCTCGCCAGCCTCGATAGCGAAGGCGTTATCAAAGTTGCGCGGGTCCTCGACCAGCCTGTGGCCGGCCAAGGCAGCGAAGCCGGAAAAGACAATGAAGAGCAGCACCACCACCTTGAAGACCCCGAGCGTGTTGAACAGGCGGATGCCCCATTTCGGGAACGCGGCGTGCAGTAGGACGGCAAACGTGATGCATGCGACGCCGATGCCGCGCGCTCGGTAGCTGTCCTTGAGCTCGTTGCCGGCCGCGTAGAGGATGTACCGGCCAAAGGCGAGCGAGTTGCCCGACGAGAAGCCCAGCAGGATCATCTGCGAGGCGAGGACGCAAGTGGCGAGATACCGCGGATGGCGGTAGATGTACTCGAGGTAGTTCTTCTCGCCCCCTGAGCGCGGAATTGCCAGGCCGAACTCGAGCCACACGCTGAGGCCGCAGAAGGTCAGGAAGCCGCCTGGGAGAAGGGCAAGGGTGTCAGCATCGTTCGTTGACTTGATTTTGCGTTAAGTCTTACCAATAACCCACAGCATCAGACTCACGCCAACCGAGCCCGTGGCGGCAAAAACGCTCGAGGGAGTGGAGAATATGCCGGTTCCGATCATCTTGTTGAGGATGAGGAAGACGGCGCCGGTGATGCCCAGCTTGCGCGAGTCATCGTAGGCATAGGTGTTCTCCTGGATCTCGCCCACCGTGACCTCATCCGTGTCGGACTGCGGTGCCGGCTTTCCGTGCACATCATCTTTCACCCCTTCGATAGCCGCCTCCTCACTCGGGGCCTTGGTGAAGGAGCTCATGATGTTCAAACTCCGCTATCCGCGGGCGTCTAAGTGTGCGCGGTGAAGTTGTGAACTGTGTACTGGTAGGGTTACCCAGCGGGAAGTGTCAGCAGAAGCTGCCGATCTTATACATGTACGCAGTGGTCGACGGCGGGGTATAATGTCACGGTATTAATGAAGGGTCTTGTACCTCTTCACCCTAGCATTTGAAGGCTGCCCATCCAAGTTGCGTGACATTGCGACTGCATTAACATTTGCGCCATCTAACCTAGACTTTGCGAAAGCCTGCCGCCACCAGCTTGCACATATAGTCCGTCGTTACCCGGCGCAGGGGACCTCGGACGGTAAGGACTACATGTAGCTAGGCAGGATCGTATTCCCATCAAGCATCAAACGGCCATGAGCTGAGTCGGGCAGTCCGAAATGTCGCGAGAAATACAAGTCCTTCCAGCTAGGGGCCGGTGCCAGTGTATGCCCAGTGCGATCAGAATTCTGCTTCGCAATGTTAGTACGTGTACGCTACTCCGTACGTACCTGAAAATTCTGAGGGCGACTAACGGCTTCCTGTTTGAGGCCCTTGGAGTGGAAGAACAGGGCCAACCGCTGTCGTCTGCTTCCGCTGGATCGGGAAGGTCAGTTAGCGTCAGATCTCGGCGGCTTGGCAGGTATGCCGGCTTGTAAAAATCACGCCTGTCGATGTGGGCCAAACCGGGCAAATCCCCGATGTCACGATGTCGTGCTCCCGGCCAAGAATTACGGGAGCATCCGCTTAGGCTGAGGATGGCACGACCGTAGTTTCTTCGAGAATTACTGCCTAGTGAATATCATCAGTAAAGTATCATACAAGAGCAACATGGCATAAGGGGCAAGGGTTAGATACTGATTACTGGTAGCTCCCAGTCCAAGGACCATCACATCCCATCTTGTCTTTGAGCGTTGATGTATCTGCCAAATGGCCAAAGGCCCAAGCAACAAGATTCCAGTTGAGCGGAGTCAGCCACATCAACGCAGTTGCCTTGCCCACGACGATTTCCTCATAGCACCATTGACCTTACCAACTCGCCTGTTCTTAGACCACGACCGACAGCGATGAGCGACAGCGGCAACGAAAGTGAACTGACGGCAACTGCGATGTGGCTGCATAACCCTTACCCGGGCGTATTGTGCCAATTGCCAAGATGAGGCTTTGGCGAACAATGAACACGCTTCGTGGCTGCTAAAACCGAACTTGGAGCACGTGACTTCGCGTCCAATCTCCCTCCAATCTCTTCCCCTAAAAGTTGTTTGTGCAAAGTAAGAAGTTAGCGGTGCCATGGCTCTGGATTTTCGAGATTCAAGGCAAAACTCTCAAGCCGTGTGTTTGCGACGCATCGCTGTTTCGGACGTCGTCACTTTCATCGCTTTGCTGGACTTCTCGGAGCCATGTTCTCCCTCGAAACGTGTAGCCTACGTTATCCCCAGGCATTAGTCTTTTGGCAAAGAAACAGGCGAAGGCAATGTATCATCCCGAATTAACCTTACAAAAAGTGTACGGCAAGACGTGGCTAAGGTAGGTGCCCTCTTGGCCTGCTGTGATCAGGTGGAGTTTGGCCGCGTGGCTCCCCAATCGATGAAGGTGGGGCTCAGCAGTCGCCAATCCCACCGTCAGTGCGCGGCACGACCACTGAGAGTGCTGAGCCGCGGCGGCGTCGCGCGAATCGCGTAACCAACCAGCCCGCATGTCCACCAAACTGCGAAACCTCGCAAATCCAACTTGCGGCACCCGTCTTTGGCCCATCCACTCCTCTTAGCTAGATCCCTCTGCCGGATCCCTTGCCGCTGTTTGGCTTTCTCCTGCTTTGCTTCGGAATTGCTGCGGCCCGGCAGTTGATGGACCCGGACTCGACGTCGATCTCTCATCGGTTCGACCTTGGACCCCTCCAGGACAAACATCCCGCGACACTCGCGTCTTCGGCTTCCAACACGGCCCTCAACCTGTATCGCGGAAAGATGAACGATATAGGCATTCCGACAAGAGGAGCGTCCCAGGAAGGGCAACTGCCCGCTGCAGTTGACGCGACTTTCCCGCGCGTCGACTCCCTTGGCGGCGATTCCAGGTCGCGATATCAATCTGCGGGTCTACCCATAGACAATGCCCAGTCGGCCGGCTATACAACGTCGGGCTTCTCCGAGCAGCGTCCTATCGCTGGCGAGAACGGTCTGCCTCAATTGCCACAGCTACGACAGCTTGGTTTTTCCCGCAGTGATTCTCAAGGCACCAACACCACGGATGATGCCGACCGCGTGTTTACACCCCCCACAAGCACAGGGAGATTGAGTCCTGGTACGGGCACTGCGCATAACTCGAGCCAGGAATCTCAGCTACTGCAGCTCTCCCAGATTGCCGCAGCGCAAGAGAGGATACCGGAAGACGCGGCAGACGGAAACGGCGCCTCCTCGAGGAAGAGGATGGCCGACGGCATGGTCAAGCAGCCTCGCGACAAGTCATCTACGTCGCCGGGTCAACTGGCTGGTCACTCAAGGAATACCAGCACTGTCAGTGTCGCTTCAACCGCGGGGAGCCGCATCGGGGAGGTACGCTTGTGTCCAAACCCCACGAGGTTGATTACCCCTGCTGACCGACCATCGCAGCTGTCTGCTGAACTGAAAACCCGCCTGTCGTACGCCATGGTCAAGGTCAACCACGGCTGGCAATCCCACTCTATTGACCAAGTCGAGACTCTGGCCTCTCAAGCGGCCTCTCCAGCTTCCAGCACATCAACAATACACCTGAGAAACGGGTCCTCGGCAAGCCCTCGGCTGTCTGGTGTATCTCATAGAGGCAGCAATAATACCACACCAGCCATGCCACCACAACACCTCTCAAGTCGCGCGGATGCCCAGTGGAGAGAATCACCTCATTCCACTTCACGGGGCAGCTCTGCGTCACCCGTCAAGACTACCCACGGCCTGGCGCCACCGGTATCTATCCAGCCGGCCCAGAGTGTAAACCATCTGCGCAGGGGATCCATTCCGCGGCATGGATCTGCGTTTCTCTCAGAGTCCCTTCAGGCTTCTCCGCATGCGGGGCCACACACTCCAAGCCCATACCTAGGTACCGGCCATCACAGGACCATGGCTGACGGCATCTTTGTCTCGCCCCACACAAATGTCCGCGAGCAAGAAGCCGTCGAGTCGCTCCTGTTTATGAGCAGCCCAGGCAACCAGGCCCATCTTAAGCAGCACGGATTCCCCAGCTTATCCTCACAGCCGCTCCCGTCGGGCCATAACGCGCCGCAACAACAACGGACAGCGCTGCCGACCTCACAGCCCCGGAAAAGCCTACCGACAGGGAGACCCACGCATCATGCCCGCTCCCAGTCACACACACAAAAGCGGGTGGGATTCGAAAAGTCGCCGATGGACATGGATATCGACGAGCCGCCGTTATCCAGGGGCACCCCGCGGAAACGGATCAATGGTGGCGGGGGTGGTTATGGTGGGGGCGGTGGTGGAGAAATGCAGCCGCCGGTCCCCCGGCTGAAGCACATGCCCGTCTCGGCCGGGCTGACCGTGTCCTCCAAGCCACGGCCGGCCCTGGCAGACGAGGATATTGATCGCATGCTGGACCGGGCTGCGGCGGCTGATGATTCGGATTCGGATGGCGAGATCCATATACCGACGGCGGCGGCGGCGCAAAGGGCGCGCCGGGACGGCGCGAGCGCGAATGCGAATGCGAATGCTGTTGGTGCCTGAGGCCGGCTGTAGTACTCGGCTGTGGGGTCCGGGGCAGAAGATGGCTTCGCCGGTGAAACCTGACAACCTTGTGCGGGTCACACTACCTACCACCTGCAGAAGGTCATAAGCGAGTGTTGTCATCCCCTCGTTCGGTTATCGGGAATGCGGAGCCAGCGTTGGTGTTTGGCATATGTTTCCAACATTTACACGCACGATTTTTACGGGTTGGCCATGGCGGCAGCTGTCCATTCCCTGTCCCTGGGGTTTTGAGGATTGCCAGCAAGAGACGTGCTGGTGCTTGCACGCGTATTATCGAGCTGCATTTGGATTGGCGTTTGGGTTTTGTTACCTCTCTGGATTGCGCCCGCCATTTTTTTGGGTGTCTGTATATAATCCTGCATGGCGATAGCGCGGCAATAGTACGATGCCTTGGTCCGACGTCTGTGGCTGGTGGTGATCTTGGTCACGATTTTGAACGGGGTGTTGAGGCCAGTGCCCCTGACCATGCCTTATGCCTGCACAGTACATAATGTATGCACGGTACGTACTGTAATGTAGCAGTAAGGTACCTTAGGTATTGTACGAAGCAACACACCGATGGAGTTGGGAGGTGCCTCAATCAAAGGCTGCTGTTCCCATTGTAGCTGTTGTTGATTCACCAGTGCTGGAAGAAATATAGTTGGGCTTTAAATGCTTCAACACAAAGCAATGCCTTGTAGAGCCAGGGCATTGATACTGACACTTTTCGGCTAAGCTGCAGCACATAACTTGGCTGCTTTCAACTTTACCCCTGACAATCTGCACCTACCCGTGGCGCATAGCGTACGAATGATCAAACGATGACTGGAGTCACTGGACAGCAAAGCTGCAGCTGAGAACCGCAGCTAAGAGATCCTGTTGGTCTTGACAACGTTAATTGTATGCGTCCAACTTAGGCCATTACCTAGGTATTGTACAATACCAGCTTACATCCACAGCATGGTTCAGCTAACACGAACACACTCCAGAGTCCTGACAGGGCTTTGCTGCGCCTTGTCTCGTCCTTCAACCTCCATCGACGGCAATTCCCGCAGTTTCGGGACATGATTGGCCTGCTCGGCAGACATCTGAAACAGCCACCGCCCATGCTCCGATCGTGTGCGGCTGCAAGGCACAGCCGTGAGCCCCGCTGAAAAGCAAAGCCGCGTCGCAGCACCGCATCGACATCGAGACCTGACCTCGTTGCTCTGCCCGCTGCCTTTCCGGTGCGAAGCATGGACCGGCGCCGGCAGCATTGTGCGGAACCGCAAGGTATTGTTTCTAGCATCCGGTAGTGAACCGGTCTCAATCTTTCCTCCCGCAACAACAACGAGGCCGTCATTGCTTCCTTCTCCAAGCCCCGTCGGCGACATGCCGCAGCTGACCTGACGACTGCACGATCTCTACGAGTGCAGCCCCAGGCCGGCAACAATGGACATCCACGCGCTGCTTGGCCGGCTTCGTGCCGTTTTCCGTCGGAAACCGGCACAGCTAGGCGAAGCCATCAATCGCTGGCTCTCGGGCTTCAAGCTGAAAGGATCGCCCGGTCAGGAGTCGGTCATCCTCCACCACGGTCCAACATCTGCCGAAACCGACTACGACTTTCCCAAAACCATCACACGAGAGGAATTGCTGTCATCCGCCATCAGCCAAGATGCATCCCTCTTCTTCACCATCCTGCCGCTCGAGATCCGGCGCATGATCTATCGCGAAGTGTGGAGCGCCTATCTCAAGCCCCGGCGCCTCTCGCCGTCGAGTCCCGGGTCGGACTTGCGACTGCACATCTATGCTAACGGCTCCGATCGCGTCAACCTGGGACACACCACGTGCGAGGTCCACCCGGGTGAGCCGACGCAGGAGGACGCCTGGGTCACGTCGCCCTGGCCGTTTGAGAACCACGGCAGCAATCCTAGCAGGATGCCGCCCCGCTGGTTTTGGTTTGCTTGGGTCATGCGTCTCAACTGGGGCAAGCACTGGCAGTGTCAGCACGCCATCCAGAAGCGCTGGGATCCCATGACGGGATATGCTGAGCCGGCTGAGAAGGCGCCTTTTCTGGCTGTGTTTTTGACGTGCAAGGAGATGTGGGTGGTCCCCGAACTTGCTTGACAGTTTGAAGAGGATGATGGCTAACTCGGATACAGGTATCTCGAGGCCATCGTGTCCTTTTTTGAAACCGTCACGCCCATCTTCACCTTCTCGGTAGACGCCCACCGCTTCTTCATCAGACGCCCGCATTCCTTCCTGGGCGAGCTCAAGTCGCTCGAACTCAGCTTCAACAACCCCAACGACCACCTCTATCTGACCCGGCGTTACCAGAGCAGCACCTCGGTCCGCTCTGCTGCTACCGGCGACGACTCAAACGACTCCCTACTGCAGAGCATCCTGGCTCTGCCCGATCCCAACGCTGGCCCTGATGAGGATGAGTCTGCCGGTAACGACGGCCTCTTTGGGCAGAACATGTGGATCAATGTTCTTCAGGGCGTGCGCGCGGCGTGCCCGAAGCTCAAGGACCTGACCATCACCATCGGCGGCAAGATTTCGCGCGATGCGGTGCTCGCCGGGTTTGGATGGATTGATAGAGATGAGGGCTACGACTCGGAACCTGGCAGCGACGAACGGGACGGGGACGATGCTTTGTCTGGGGAGAGGTGGGAGTTGCCTGGGAAGATGGCAATCACCTTCAAGCCGAACGGCGAGACGTATATCCAGGAAAAGGGGAGGCTGGTTCTGCAGGCGCCGGAGCAGGTCACGGTGTGATCGGCAATCGGCGGGCGTGGTTTTCAGGAGGGTTATGCTACTCCGTTCATGTATGTGTATAATTCAATATCCATGGTCTAGGTAGTCTGGTTGCGGCCTAGGACCGCGATAATGGGTCAATGGTAATTCAACGGGGTTTCAATTGCAAGCGGCTGGCATATGGTTGGCCCTTAACTCTTCGAAGTCCTCGTTCGATGTGAATGAATCCTAGACAGTCGGGTCCATGGCACATGGTTGGATTACCCGGCCCAATCCACTTACTTGAGATAGTGTAAGCTCAACTTCAGTATGAATTATAAACTGAAAGTCACCAGGTATCCGAGAAATGGATCTCACACTTTTCGGCCTCTTGCATAGCCGGGAGGTTTACAACATGAAAGTACAGAGGTAATTGGTGCTTGAATCAGCCGCTGCAAGTCAATTCTGTCGAGATTTTCCCTCATTCAACGAAACTGCCCTGCATTTCCTTGTATGTATGTACCTACAACTCAAAGAAGCAATGTGTTTTGATGGTACGCCGATTCCAAACTCCTTTTCAGGGCCTGGGTTCAGGGGCAATTCTGCTGTGGCCCCACGCGAGGTGGCGACAGCTGACGAGAATTCGAGGTGGCGCCTGTGCCAAGCAAAGCCAGCTGAAACCGGGGGCGGATTTGGACCAAAAGGACACCCCGTCGCAAACTACGCTCATCACCACCATCCACATCACCGGCCGTTTTCCATCGCATCCTCACCGTTGCCGGCAGCTCTTTCGACTTCCGCATTGTCTTGTCTGGGCCCGCCGAGGCAGTCTTCAATGCCGGAACCTTAGGAAGTACTCCCGCATTTTCCTTCGCCATCGACCCGCCATGGCACCGCTCGTCGACAACTCGCAGATCAAGTCCGCCGAGCTGCTCCGGCCACTGCCCCTGTACCAACATGCCTACATCTGGCCGTTCGCCATAGTGTGGCCCATCTTCTTGCGCTTCTACCTCAGCACCGAACTCTACGACAAGTACATCCAAGCCTCCGAATGGACTTTTGTCTGGGTCGGCACAATAGTCACCTTCCAGACCCTGGTCTGGCTCTGCACACACTGGAGCGTCAATCTCAATGCTCTGTTCACGGCCAAGAAGGCGCGCTCTGTCGAGGACGCCGAGCTGATTAAGGTCATCCCCATTGCAAATGCTGGCACCGCTGAAATCTGCAAGCTGGTGCGCGAAAAGGTAACCCTTACACATGCCCTTCCCCCTCTCTTTACAGGTTGTTTTCAGCCGCTGACTCGTTTCGCCCAGGTTGGAGAAAAGACGAATATCTCGTTTCTTTTTCAGAAGCGCCGGTTTCTCTACAGGCCCGAGGCTAAGAACTTCAGCACACTGACCTACGATATCGATGCGAATCCGAAGCTCGACAAGTTCCAGCTGTCGCGGGGTATCCAAAGCGAGGCCGAAATCAAACGCCTTGAGCAACACTATGGAACAAACACATTCGATATTCCGGTCCCTACCTTCACCGAGCTCTTCAAGGAACACGCCGTGGCGCCGTTCTTTGTCTTTCAGGTTTTCTGTGTCGGCCTCTGGCTGCTGGACGAGTACTGGTACTACTCGCTCTTCACCCTCTTCATGCTTGTCATGTTTGAGAGCACCGTCGTGTGGCAACGCCAGCGGACCTTGAGCGAGTTTCGGAGCATGAGCATCAAGCCCTACGATATCTATGTCTTCCGTCTCGGAAAGTGGACCGAGATCCAGAGCGACAAGCTCCTGCCAGGCGATTTGGTGTCGGTCTCGCGGACCAAGGAGGACAGCGGCGTGGCGTGCGATATGCTTTTGGTGGAGGGGACCGCAATCGTCAACGAGGCTATGCTTTCTGGCGAGAGTACTCCGCTACTGAAGGATTCCATTCAGCTTCGTCCGGGGGATGCCGTCATAGAGCCTGACGGTTTGGATAAGAACTCGTTCCTGTGGGGCGGCACAAAGGTGCTCCAGATCACTCACGGCAACGCAGACGAGGAGAGGCCAAAAGTTGCATCAGGCGTACCCCCACCGCCTGATAATGGCGCCATGGCTATCGTCACCAAAACCGGCTTCGAGACGTCCCAGGGCAGCCTGGTCCGGACCATGATCTACTCGACCGAGCGCGTCTCTGCCAATAACGTTGAGGCGCTGCTCTTCATTCTGTTCCTCCTCATCTTTGCCCTTGCTGCCTCATGGTATGTGTGGGATGAGGGTGTCCGCAAAGACCGCAAGCGCTCCAAGTTGCTGCTCGATTGCATCCTCATTGTCACGAGTGTCGTCCCCCCTGAGCTTCCCATGGAGCTGAGTTTGGCTGTCAACACCAGTTTGTCCGCACTCGCCAAGTTCGCCATCTTCTGCACGGAACCATTCAGAATCCCTTTTGCAGGGCGCATTGACGTTGCTTGCTTTGACAAGACAGGGACCCTGACCGGTGAGGATCTCGTGGTTGAGGGCATCGCTGGCCTTGGCCTTGGCCACTCGGGCACCGATACACCGCGAGAATCCGATGGCGCCCATAGCCATATGAGCGCGGTTCACGAAGCTGGCATGGAGACTATGTTAGTCCTCGCCACTGCTCACGCACTGGTGAAGCTCGACGAAGGCGACATCGTGGGCGATCCGATGGAGAGGGCTACTCTTACCGCTCTGGGTTGGAGTCTGGGAAAGAATGACATATTGACAAGCAAACCAGCCGGTTTAGCCACAGGCGGCGTCGTTGGCACCGTTCACATCAAGCGCCGTTTCCAGTTCTCATCCGCCCTTAAACGCCAGAGCTCCGTTGCAACCATCAACTCCACTGATGTCAAGACCGGCCGAAAACTGAGAGGCACATTTGTTGCCGTCAAGGGCGCGCCCGAGACAATCATGAAGATGCTTGTTAGCATTCCCAAAGATTACGAGGAGACGTTCAAGTACTTCACCCGTCGCGGCGCCCGAGTCCTTGCGCTCGCTTATAAGCACCTAACGACTGAGGGCGAACTGGGCACGCAAAGGATAAACGAGCTCAAGCGCGAGAACGTCGAGGCGGACCTGTACTTTGCCGGCTTCCTGGTCCTCCAGTGCCCACTCAAGGAGGATGCGAAGATGGCAGTCCGCATGCTCAATGAGAGCAGCCACCGCGTGGTTATGATTACCGGAGACAACCCGCTGACAGCCGTTCACGTGGCCAAAGAAGTGGAGATTGTCGACCGTGACGTCCTCATCCTGGATTCGCCCGAGCATAGCGCACATGGCGAGGAGTCGCTCATCTGGCGGAGCGTTGACGACAAGGTCCGGATTGACGTTGACCCTACCAAGCCGATTGACCCGGAGATTCTTAAAACCAAGGATTTGTGCGTAACAGGTTATGCACTGAGCAAATTCAAGGACCAGGTCGGCTGGAAGTCGCTACTCCGATACACCTGGGTGTACGCGCGAGTGTCGCCCAAGCAGAAGGAGGATATTCTGTTAGGACTGAAGGATATGGGATACTACACGCTCATGGCTGGCGACGGCACCAACGATGTCGGCGCGCTCAAGCAAGCTCATATTGGCGTTGCCCTCCTCAACGGAACGCAGGAAGACCTGACCCGGATCGCGGAGCACGCTCGCAACACTAAGATGAAAGACCTCTACCAGAAGCAGGTTGATCTGATGGCGCGCTGGAACCAGCCGGCCCCTCCGGTACCGGCCATGATTGCCCATCTCTACCCGCCCGGGCCGTCCAACCCACACTACGAAAAGGCGATGGAGCGGGAGGCGCAGAAGAAGGGCGTTACTGTCGAGCAGCTCGCCAAGGCGAACGGTACCGCCGTCGAGACCATAACCTCCCCAGCAGCGCAGCAGCTGATCAACCAAGACCCGAGAAAGGCGAAGCAGGCTGATGCCGCCAAGAAGGCTTCAGGTCTTGCCGACAAGCTCACACAGTCGATGATGGAGGCCGAGATGGACGACGAGCCCCCCTCACTGAAGTTGGGCGACGCTTCAGTGGCCGCGCCCTTCACGTCTAAGCTCCGAAACGTCGTTGCCATTCCCAACATTATCCGCCAGGGCCGGTGTACCCTGGTTGCCACGATCCAGATGTACAAGATTCTCGCCTTGAACTGCCTCATCAGCGCCTACAGCTTGAGCGTCTTGTACCTCGAGGGCATCAAGTTTGGCGACGGGCAGATTACCATCAGCGGCATGCTCATGAGCGTGTGTTTCCTGTCCATCTCGCGAGCGAGATCGGTCGAGGGCCTGTCTAAGGAGCGGCCCCAGCCAAACATTTTCAATTTTTACATCATTGGCTCCATTCTGGGCCAGTTTGCCGTGCACGTCGCGACGCTCATCTACATTGCCCGATACTGCGACCAGCTCGAGCCGTAAGTTTGCCTTCTTACCAATCCTTTCTCTATTCACCCACTAACAGAAATGTGCAGCCGCTCGGAAATGGTCGACCTCGAAGCCGAGTTCACGCCATCCCTCCTCAACAGCGCCGTCTACCTGCTGCAGCTGATCCAGCAGATCTCGACGTTCGCCGTCAACTACCAGGGCCGCCCCTTCCGTGAGTCCCTGTCTGAGAACAAGGGCATGTTCTACGGCATTGTCGGCGTCACGGGCATCGCCTTTGCCTGCTCGACCGAGCTTGTGCCTGAGCTCAACGCGGCCATGAAGCTTGTGCCGTTCAAGGACGAGTTCAAGACTACGATGACGGCCGTTATGGTGCTTGACTATGCGGCCTGCTATGTTATTGAAGTGGTGCTCAAATTTTTGTTTAGTGACCTCAAGGCAAGGGATATTGCAGAGCGGAGGCCAGAGCAGCTCGAGCGGGAGAGGGTTAGGAAGGCTGAGGAGCAGAGATTGAAGGAGGAGGAGGAAGAGAAGAAGCGGTTGGAGAAGGTGGCCGAGTTTGAGAGAAAGATGGAGGAGAAGAGGGCGCAGTTAAGGGCTGCATGGGGACAGGCGCAGGCGAGGCAGTAGTAGATTTAGAATGGGGTTTCACCGAAGTAGATAGACGAGATGTAAAGCGGGCAGGGCTTGATTACTCTGCTCCATTGTAAGTGTCATGCGAATAAACAATAAATAAGGCTCATATACTGTGCACAACTGGCTGGTCCTGCTAGTTTCAATACATTGGTGGAACTCGCTGACTCTAACGGTATGGTACAGATATCTTGAAGCCTCTAAGGGAAGGATTACGCAGATTTAGCCCCGGGAGTCCACCAGCACCCGGCTCTAAGCCACTGGAACGCCAAAAAGCACCGCTGTTGCTCAGAGTCCTTCTCCCCTGTTCAGCCGCACGCTCCCCCTTCGCAGTCAACACCCTTCCGAGAGTGATCCGGACGAGGCCATATGGTTGGAAGAGAGAGCGTGTCTTTGCTGGCGTTACCCATTTATTTAGGCGGGTTCTGGGCAACGAAAGTCTTGCCCTTCTCGATGTTCTTCTTGAGATCGCCGAAGCAGGCCTCAAGGAGCTTCTCCTCGACAGCATCAACCTTGCCGACGGGCAGGATCTTCTCAACACCGTTGGGGCCAAGCTCAACCTTGGAGCTGAAGAAGTCAATGCCCTGGTCCTTGTACAGCGGGCTGTCGACAAAAGTCGGCTCAATGACGCCCTTCTCGCCCTGGGCGGCGCGGAGCAGGGACTCGGCCATGCGGGCGCCGGCCATGGCCATGGACAGCGTGGCGGAACCGGCACCGTCCTTGGCCTTGACAACCTCGTCACCACCAAACTGCACGCGGTGGATCAGCTCGGCGTTGGATGACAGCTCGGGGTGGTTGCTCTGGCTGAAGAGGGGGACAATGGTCACGCCGCTGTGGCCGCCGACCACCGTGATGTTCTCGTTGGCCGGGTCGGTGCCCTTGATCTCGCTGACGAAGCGCGACGCGCGAACGACGTCGAGAGTTGTGACGCCGAAGAGGCGCTTGGGGTTGTAGACGCCCTTGGACTTGAACACCTCGGCGCAGATGGGGACGGTGGAGTTGACAGGGTTGCTGATGACCAGGATGTTGGCCTCGGGGCAGGATTCGGCGCAGGCCTTGGCAAGGTCGCGCACGATGGAGGCGTTGGTGTTGAACAGATCGTCGCGGCTCATGCCGGGCTTCCGCGGCACGCCGGCGGGGATGAGAACAACCTCGGCGCCCTTGAGCGCGTTGGCGAGACCGGTGGGTGTGGGCTCGTAGCCCTTGACGGACGACTTGGTGTTGACGTGTGAGACATCGGCGGCGACACCTGCAGGGTCGATGTCGTTAATCAATTAGGCCGGGAAAGAAGGGTCTATGATCGGATGACGTACCAGGAGCGCCCCGGATATCGTACAGGGCGAGCTCGGTGACTCTGGGGTTCAGCTTGAGCAGCAGAGACAGCGGCTGGCCAATGCCACCCGCAGCACCGAGAACGGTGACCTTGGAGAGCTGTTGGGCGTGATACTAGTCAGCTTTCGACAACTTAACTCATCAATGGCAGCGGTGGGAGTTTGCGCGATGCAAGGCTGATTGCACGCCAATTGCGAGCCGATTGGGACTGCCGAGTGCTTACGTTTCTAGCCGAAGCCGAAAAGGCACGGCGCTGGATCCTTGAGGCCATGAACATCTTGAATAGAGTGACCGTGGTGGGCGGACAACTACTAATGAGGGTGGTGGAGAGAAAAACAGAACCAAAAGGAAGCGCAAGTTTTGCGGGCTTGGCTGTTGAGTTGGATGGATGGATTGGACTGGGTGGCCGGATGGTTCCGTTGAGGCCAAAAAACTGCTCTCGCCAACTTTGGCCTAGCGTGGCGACTGCCTCAGTGCCTGTCCGTTGCTCCGTTCTCGACGGGAAGGTCCACTCGGCACTGTTCGGACTTCGGAAAATCCCGCACCCATTGCTGGGCCCGCTTTCCCGCTGTCACTGGCACCGTGGCACGCATCAACCAACCGCCAGCGAAATTCAGAATTGCCTTGCGCTGCCGTCCCGTCTTGTCTCGCATCTCGTCTCCTGTCTCCATGCCGCCCGGTGGTTAACACACAGGAATCGCTGTGATGGCCTCCACATCAAATTTAACGGCATTTCTCGCACCGGGCCGGGCATCGACACTCTGACTCCTGACTGGACTCTCCCAGATCCAGGACCCAGGCGCCGTTCATGATTTTGGCATCAATGCCTGCGATGATATGCTCGCGCATGGTGGCGGTTTGTTGATTAACCACCGGCCAATAGGCAAGGTCGGGTGAGGTGCAGTGCGGCTGCGCCTGTCCTGGGCAATGGAAGCGTCTTGCTGCATCAGGTTTAGGCTCCGACACAGCCCCACACGAGACAACTTCTCATCGTGAGATGCACCCTCTTCCCCGAGGACTCCATCTCTTTCGCTCACATAGTGATTACAAGAGCTTGTGGCATCGCCATGTCCATTTGAAACATGCGCTTGATCAATACCACAACTTTTGAACTCGCCGAGTTCGTTAATAATCCCCCCGCCCTACGCCATCCTGTCGCACACATGGGGCGAAGACGAGGTCACCTTCCAAGATATGTCGCACCTGGACGCAGCACGCAAGAAAAAGGGCTTTTCCAAGATTGAGGGGTGCTGCCGTCAGGCGGTCCTCGATTGATGGGAATGGGCCTGGGTCGACACATGGTGCATTGACAAGACATCAAGCGCTGAGCTCTCAGAAACCATCAACTCCATGTTCGGATACTATCAGCACGCTTTGAGGTGCTACGCCTTCCTCAGTGATGTCAGTGCCCGCAAGGGACGCTACACGTTGGTCGCCCTGGAGGAGGACCTTGCTCTAGAACCCGGCTGGCGCGATGACTCCTACCTCAGAATCAAGTCCCTATTATTTGGATCTCGCTGGTGGACCCGCGGGTGGACGTTGCAGGAGCTGATCGCGCCTTCTAACGTCCAGTTCTATAACCACAACTGGGAGTACTTGACTGACAAGCTAGGTCCGTATAAGGAGTACATAAGTCATTTCTGCGGCATATCTATAGGCGTCTTGGGCCACTTTTCCCCGTTGTCTTCGGTCTGCGCCGGCCAAAAAATGTTTTGGGCTGCAGGACGCTCCACCACACAGGAAGAAGATATGGCGTATTGCTTACTGGGTATCTTCGACGTCAACATGCCGTTGCTTTACGGCGAGGGAAGGAAAGCATTTGTTCGCCTCCAGGAGCACATTATCGCCGCCGACGAGGACTGCACCCTACTGTTAACGGGTCAGCCGCGTCAGTCCCCTTCGGACTGGTACAGCCCAACATGTTGCGATGAGTCCGATAGAAATCGAGACTCAGAGCGTATGTCCGATACACGCACCTTCTGGTCCACAATGCGACGCCTCTACGCAGTATCCTAGCGGAATCCCCGGATGATTTCAAATACTTTCGTAGCCTTTCCACGTACATGGACTTACGGCATAGATCAATGCCCTATACCGTCTTTGGCGAGCCTCCCCAGATCACCAGCCGCGGACTGCGCACTTCGCTCTTCATCACGGAGCTCACCGAGCAAGACTTATCAGGCTCCTCGGCGCTTGCGAGCGAGCTCGACGTGTTCTTCCGCAAAATTGGCAATTCTGGGTATCAGGACTTCGCGCTGTGGGCGCGTAATGGTTTTGATGTCGCCCAACGGCTTCATCTCGGGACGTTTTCACCGCTCTATTCCAATGCAGACGTCACCACCGTGGCCTGTATTCTCTTATTTCGCCTCGATCCTCACCACGTTCTTGGTACCTACGCAAGAGTGTTATGGTTCTTTACTCAATTACACGTCGCGGATTCCGACTCCTCCCGTTGGAAGCTCGAAACTTGCTACATCAAAACGCGCACCGACTCGGAAATGCTTCGACTGGGCCTCTACTTGGACTACCATGCTCGACCGATGAGGGCGGAGATAGACTGGACATGGCGGACAACTGCCCAGAACTGCCTGGATCTGTTTTCAGTATTACATGCATTGGCGACGAACGCGAGGAGACTGTGGCCTACCGAAGCTTCCAAGTGAAGGCAGCCCGCGGGTTTCCCAACTGCTTGATAGAAGTAGAGGCACAGATTGACTGCTGCTGGTTTACTATCGTCTGTGCGACGACATAGACGCATACTCCGGGACCGATCCGTGGGAGAATATGAACATCGGGTTTATGTCAACCTGGAGGAGGGGGAACGCAGGAGAACTGGGGACGATTGGCCAAGATTGCCTTCGCTATCCCTTAGGAGCGCTCCATGTTGCTGTCATAGCGGAAAGGGTTTTTTGCTCGCAGTCCATAAGGTATATCATATCTTTCGCGTGGGTTCCATCACGCCCAGGGCCGGAGATCCAACCAGTCGACCACCCAACCACGACCAACGGCAGTCAGATTGGGTGCAACTAATTGCTATTCGGATCCATCGGTTACGGGTAATCCACCAGTCCTGGTGGTGTGCACGGCAGCCAGTGCTGGATACGGAAGCCGCCGTGGGGTAAATGGTTGGAGCCAAGTGCTCCCACGTTGGGCTGCCCGTTCCTATGCGACAGTCATGTTTGTGAGTCCCCCGGCTTACAGCGAGCGGAATTCTACTTACTATTATCCTACCCATCCAGTTGCCTCAGTACCGTGACCTCGGCTCATATATACTCATGAACAGCCTAAACTTGTCCATGCTTCTCCAGTGGTCCATGCTATCTTGGACTTCTCACCGGATTGGCTGTTTTCCCTTTGGCCGTCAACCAAGCGCTGGTATTTTTGACTCCCGTGGCGGCCCCAGATTGCCGCGGCAGCTATCAGGTATATGTGTTGCGAGGGCCCATGACTTGACTTGCCCCTTGCCAACCGCCAACCGGCAGACGGCCTCCAGCCTCCGACATTCTCTTTGGTCATTACGCTTAAACCTAACGTCAAGATGAAGCTCACGCCCTTTCTGCTCCTAGCAGCGACTGCTGAAGCACATTGTGAGTCGTGCAGCACACGATCATATCTCAGGAGCACAGCTAATCCCGACCAGACAGATTCTCCAAGCTCATCGTCAACGGCGTAGCCGAGGAGAAGGAATGGACTTCAGTCCGCCAGACCAAGAACTATCAAGGCAACTATGGCGTGACGGACGTCAACAGCCCGGACATTCGCTGCTTCCAGATGAAGCCGGGAACTTCGACGGCCACGGTAGCTGCCGGCGACAGGCTTGGCTTTGTGGCCATGTCAGCCGTGACGCACTTCGGCCCGGTTTCGTTCTACATGGCGAGGGTGCCTGAGGGGCAAAATATCAATACCTGGGACGGCGCCGGAAGCGTGTGGTTCAAGGTGGCCGAAATCAGTGCGGTTCCCGGTCCCAACGGGGCTCTCACCTCTGGAGAGGCCACCTGGCCTGCGTATAGTACGGTCCCTTCCTCTTCAAACTACAGTCCACGATGCTAACAGTCTATGCAGACAAGAAGCAGGTGGAATTCACGGTGCCCAAGAGCGTGCCCAGCGGCAAGTACCTCGTCCGCGTCGAGAGCATTGCCCTGCACCAAGCGCAGTCTGCTGGCGGCGCCCAGATCTATCTCTCGTGTGCGCAGGTTGAGATCACCGGGGGCGGAAACGGCAAGCCCGGTCCATTGGTCGCTTTCCCGGGAGCGTATCGATCGAATGACCCGGGTCTGCTGTGGTCATACTATCCCGTGCGGACGAGCTACAAGGCTCCTGGCCCAGATGTGTGGCAGGGCTAAGGTGGCCGGGCTCAGGACAAGCGGTCGTGGTTGAGTTGGTGTACGGACTGGGACGATGATTTCCCGTTCCTTCATCTCAAGTACCGAGCAGGTCATGCGCTGCGCGACTAACCATTGACGAGAATTCCTGCATTTTATCCGCTGCACGCTATCTGTACCCCAGATGGATCCAGAGTTATGGAGTCGGCTGTACGGATTCGCTTCGTTAGGCAATACTGACGTTCTATTCGTCCATGACCTCCTTTTCGAAGTGCTAAGAACGGTTACGGAGTCGTTCTGCGATTGCTCAGTTCGGTATAATTATTTATTGATTGGTACTTACACGCAGTCATGTTGCCCAGGGGATCTGTGAGAATGCCTACGCGAGTCACCGTTGTGCTGGCTGACATGGACCATGGTTGAAAGCATCTTCGTCGGGTCTCGCAAGCCATCTGGCCCACGCTAAGTTTTTGGTAGACTGTCCCAACTATCATTGATTAGAGTATGTGTAGTAACCCCTCGCCGTTGTGTCGGTTGACCCCTGATGCAAATAGGGTCCATAGCTTGGCACCAGACGACCGACATCAATGACGACACCGAGCATTCGTCATTGTATCATCACAACACTAAGCAGCCAATTAGTGCCCTCAGGGGCATACTCACACAAAGAACAGGGTTCGATCAATGTAACCGAAGATGGAGTATTTCATAGTCCAGGACGAACACTGCCGGCGGGAGGAAAAGGTGCATCACCAAGACGAAGTCCAAAAGGAACACCATCCCGAGAATGGCAACGGAAAACAAGCCAGCGGCGCTGCCGCAGCTGGTGCTCAATCCGCAGGAACGCATCCCGATCCTCAAGACGCAGACGCACCACACAGAGCCGGAGCCCACGCTCCCGATTCGCAAAAGCAACACCCACCCGTTGGAAAGTAACTTCCCACCTCTCTCCTCTGAAGAGAACGGAACCGATGGAAGTGTGTTCTTCATAGGCACAGCCACCACCGTGATATCCTACAATGGCATCCGCATACTCACCGATCCGAACTTTCTCCGTACGTACAAATCCACCCCCTTCCCCCTCTTACCAGTTCAATGGCATTCTCAGGTAGGCAACTAACCCACAGGTACGATAAGACGCCGGCGACCACGTGCACCTCGGCCCAGGGGTAACCGCCACACGCCTCACCAACCCCGCCGTGCCCAACCTGGCCTCGCTGCCACCCGTCGACGTGATCCTCCTCTCACACTACCACGAGGACCATTTCGACCGTGTCGTTGAGGCTCAGCTCAGCCGCGACCTGCCCATCGTCACCACTCCGCACGCAAAGGCCTGTCTGACTGGGACTGGGAAGGACGAGGCTGACCGGTTCAGGGCTGTGCACGCCCTGGATGTCTGGGAGGGCTTGCTCATGCCTGTGGTGGTACCTGGTGCTGCTCCCGGTGTTGAGAGTGGGGGTAAGGGGGTTATGAAGAAGGCGCCGGCTGTCAAAGTAACGGCCATGCCGGGCAAGCATGTGCCGCCCGGCCCGATCGGGGCCGTCAATGAGATGCTCGGCGCGGTGCCGCCTACTAACGGGTGGCTGGTCGAGTTGGGGTATACTATGGCTCCTTCTATGAATGAAACCAGCACCACGAGCGGCGACGGGGGCTTTGAAGCGGGCTACCGCATCTACATATCAGGGGACACGCTGTTTGTGGACGAGCTGAAGGAGATTCCGGCGCGGCTGAAGGGGGACAAGATCGATCTCATGCTGGTCCACCTCGGCGGCACGACGGTTCCGAGCCCGAGGCTGCCGCTCTTGATGGTCACGATGGATGCGAAGCAGGGGGTGCAGCTGATGAGGTTGGTGGATCCGGACGTGACGGTGCCGATTCATTATGATGATTATGATGTGTTCATGTCGTCGCTGGAGGACTTTAAGAAGGAAGTCCAGGCGGCTGGGCTGGGTGATCGCGTGGTGTTTCTTGATAGGGGGGATGAGTATCGGTTAAGGGTCAAGGGGTAACTTCTTAAAAGGGGTGGACCGGGGGACGACGGACGGTGCAATGTGGTTATGAGATTTGTGGGATTTTTAGAGGTTATATTCACGTCATTGAGGTCTGATCTGCGGTAGTACTGCTGAGCCGAAATAGCTGATGAGGTTGGTATCATCTCAGTCCCATTGTCTAAAGTCTAAATTCCTGGTCGCGAGTCCGAGTCGCCCAGTCAGTCAATCGGCGGCCAGAGCAGGCGTCACCAACACGCAAAACCCAACATGTCTGGCCAAGGTGTCGTTTATCGTCTAAACCTGTCAAATAACCTGGCAAGCAACTTTTTCACCCTGGCCTTCCATGTCAAGGACTCCGAATCACTGGCAAGCAGCTTCCTCAGTTCCTCCTCGGTTGCGTGCTTCATCATGTACGGTTGCATGCCATTGAGCAGATTATCGATTCGCTCCTGGGAGAAGCCCTGCGCTTCTAGCTTCTGCCGCACCGTTTTGGGAGGTTCCTTCCTCAAGGGCATGTTTGTTTTCTTTCGTTGTACCGGAACTGGATAAGTACTACCCAGTCTGGCAGTCAGCGAGGCCTAGTGTTATGATGGTGAACCGTGAATGGGAAGCCAGGATTTTGCTTGAAATGACTGTATGACAGGACTGTCCGTCGGTTTACGCTCCATGTGGTTAGGCCAGAGCCACGTGGACTGAGCTTTATATCGTACTGTAGATGGTACGTGAAGAGAAAGGAATCTCGCAGTCGGTAATGGCTTTGTTGCATTGGCTAGGCTTCTTTGTGTTAGAATTCATTCTCACCGTAGCCAGCAAAGCAATGGGGTCTTTCATGGACCTCTCAACCTCTCAAAGACTCAAACATACTTGCACACGGTTTGTAAGAACAAAGAACTTTAGCATTAGCTGAGCTTCAGCTGAGCTGCTAAACAAGAGTGAATCACCACTACTACACGAGGTCCATGTTCTAAACCTACTTGACGCAAAGCTCCCAGAAGCATCTTAGCCGCGTCATGTACCATAAATCAGGTGATGAGCTTGCGGGTATTGACCGATCTCGCGACCCGACGCTTTCAAGCCGCTCCATGGAATCTTGGTATTCCCTGATAGCCAGGTCCTTGAGAGACTGGACCAGGTTTGATCGCCAGACCAGAAGTGGACAAGTGCCATTGCCGCGTTCCCTCGTGCGATGGCCATGTCGCGGCAGTGTTCGGCTCCCGCGATTCCGCAAGCCATCGGGCTTGACCAAGCAATTCCAAATGAGAAAGATCTCATGGCATCTGTCAGTCTTATCTGCCCCCATTTCCCTGGCCATTCTTGGCTACTATTCGTTAAGATGGTGGTGCTGGCAGTGTCGCGGGGTCTCCGAGGAAAGACCGGCCTCGCCAACTCCAGGGACTTGGTCTGGAACCTGATTCCATCAAGTTGGGTCGAACGCCTGACCTCCTGGGTTGGGTGCTATTCAATACAATCTACCACTCCTCCATTCTGCCCGAGGGGGTGAAAGTTGGGAAGCTGTACTTGGCCTATAGACCTCGGCCCTGATACCGCAACGCCAGGATCTGAGATCTCAAAGCGAGTAACTTACACATGCTCATATTCACCCGCCTTCTTTGTCTTCAATTATTGTCATGTCCTCTTTATTCAGTTTGTACCGTAGCTACATCTATAGTATTGTCATTGACCTGAACCTCTTCGGATCCATCGCCAGGTTTTATGGTTCGTCGATCGATTGCCTGAATTTCCCTCGGTTCATGGACCGAGTAATCCGAAGCCGTCACTCCCGGCCACAAAACCATCCACCAAAGCGCTTCAACAGACCATTTCAAATTCCAAAGATGTCACGACATCTGTCAGTCGCATATGCGTCCCATTTCGTGGCCATAATGGCTACAACTCGCTGAAATAGTGGTGCTGGCATTGCCGGGTCAATTACCGACTGGCCGCACAACAACTGAAGTTGGTATGTCTGCACCGGCCTAAACGGTGGGCATGCCGGCAGTCTAATCACCGTTGTTGGGGCCGGGCTGCGGAGTCGAAGCTCCCACGTCGCTAACCCGATTCCCATCTACTCCAACATAACCCTGTGGGAAGAGGAAGTCCATGATGCCAGCAGGGAGGGAGACGCCTTTGACAGCGGACACCGGGCTTTTCCCCTTGATAGTATGGGAGGTTGACACCCGCTTGCTACCGACCGATCCTACGCCCGGTTTTGCGTCAACCCAGGCAAGTTGGCGATTGTCTCTGCAATGGGAATAAATGCCCTTCAGATGCTTGGAGTGCCGGATGAAGGTAGCAGACTGGCTCATCTTCGGATGCATCATGATGATCTCGCCAAGCCGCGCGCGAGTGACGGCAACGCAAAGCCGGTTCGGGTTGTCGAGGAATTCGGTCGACTTCTCCTTGACCAAGTCGACAAACACAAAGTCGGCCTCATGGCCCTGGACAACATCGACCGTTCGCGCCTCTACCCGCTTTTGCGCCCATTCAGGCAGCCTCTTGACGGCTTTCCTGTACTCGTCATATGCCTTCTTGTAAGGCGAAATAATGAGAATGGTTCCAGGCTCATCGCGCGCCGCATGCTTGAACTTGGTGTCATTCAGGAGCTCGCGGACACGATCCATAACCCACACAGCATGCGTGGGGTTCCATGCCGAAGTCCCGTCAAGTTGTTCCGGGCCACAGTTCTTGACATGGAGGAGCAGGCGCGGGACAGGACAAGCCTTGCCACCTGCCAGCTTCTGTAAGTAGCCTTGGATATGAGCCAGCGATGTAGGCTTCCGACCATCGTTACCGCTGACCATGCGGCCACCGTACCACAAGTCAGAGGCCAACTGATGCAGACCACCAAACGACCGGTGGCTCATTAGCAGTTCGAACCTAATGGCGTCGACTGCTGCTGCCCGCTCCATCATGGAGACTTGCATCTGCTTTCGATAAATATTGTCGTTAGCCGGAGCGGACGCCGAACCGACATACGGAACCGTCTGGCGGTAATCGCCACAAAAGATCCAAGCGATGGGGTCGAAGTTGGCGATCGCGATCAGGTTTGAGAGCTCCCGGGCGTGCGGGGCCTCGTCGAAGTACACAAGGTCTGGCTTGAACATGCCGCGGAAATGATTGCTGGCTGCCACCGGGGTGGTTGCAATGAAGTCCGCATCACCGAGCGTGTCTCGGTATAGAGAGTACACCATCCGACGGAAAGTCAAGGGGAGAACATCACTGCTTTCCCGCAGCTCTTCTTCCAGGTATCTGGTTAGAGACTCGTAGTGCGCGTCTCTGTACTTGTCATAACGCTGCCAGGCTGCCTCGTCTAGACTCGGGGCGTTACAGGTGCGGGTGGCTGTGGTTTTTGCGAGCGACATGCCTTTTGCTGTTCGGAGGAACTGCCTGGAGAAGTCAACGTGCATGACTTCCCCTGGTTCCTCGACAGCGCTAAGTCTGTCGCTGAATTTCACTTCGGCGCCCCATCCCTTCATGCGGATGACGCTCTTCTTAAGCCCAAGCTCGTCATACAACCGTACCATGCGGTTGGCGACATCATCTACCGGGCTGTTCATATCGACGATGAACAGAACCTTGGCGCAGCGCCTCTCCAACCCACCCTTGACTCTGACAGGACTCGGAAGGGGCCTAAGTTGTGCCATCACGATTGTGAAAAGGTTGAGGTGGGTCTTCCCGGCTCCTGGACAACCAGGAAGGATGCAGACTCCGCACGGGACATTGTTGAAACCGTGTAGGTACGCAGCCTTTTGCTGAGGATTGAGTTGAGCAAACTTCTTGGCCAAGAGCGAGCCAGGCCACCAGGGCTCATCCATTACTGTCTTCAGGTGGGGAATCAGGTGGTGCATGTCAACGACAAAGTCCGGGTTGCGAAGGAGGACGAAGTATTCGAAGGCCTTTAACTGACGCTCGGTCGCGTTCTGATGTTTGCCGTACAGCAGGTCGAGAGCAGCGATTTCGGCATTCTTGGTGGCTTCAGACGCCGTCAGCAGGAAGTTCACTTGTACGGCATTGTCGTCAGAAAGCTTGACATCGTGGTTATTGCCGGACTCAAAGGTGGTGGCCGTGGTATGCGTAATATTGTCGGTGCTGCAGGATGAAGTATCCCAAGAATTGCTAGAGGTTTCCGAAGGCGATTGGGCGCGGAGATTCTCCTCTGAGTCTGAGGTGGTTCTAGTCGGCGGGCTGTTGACCTTGCTGAGCAGGGGTTGAACGTCTTTGTGTGCATCCGCAATGTAGACGGTCACTTGAAAGGCGGCCAGCTTCTCTAAGAAGGGGGCGGTAACACCGAGATCGATTGGGAGCTCAATCCTGCACGCGTCCCAGAAGCGGGTCAGGGAGTCATCCTTCAAGACGACTCTGACTTTGGCCTGCTCGCCCTGCTGCGGCAGCCTTCGCTCGCCATCAAGCCCAGGGTTCACGAGGATCAAGTACTCGTCCCGCTTGGCAGTGTGGCGAGTGTGTGAAACGACCCAACCCTGAAGCTTGATCTCTTGCTTGTTGATCTGGTCGACGAGGAGCTGATCTGCTGCAAACTCGGCTTCGGTGCCGGTCTTGTGGCGATGGGCAAACTCTGCAATGTCCGCAAAGCGGTACAGAGGCTTTACACCAGCGTGCATGGCTGCGGACTTCTTGCGAAGGCGAAACTGCTGAGAAACACACGACGACCGGCCTCTCGGAGGCAATTGAGACACTAAGGCGACCTGCACCTGAGGAAAATGTCAGTCAATCAACCGTACGCTCTCTGGCGTAAATGCCAGGTGAGATGGATGGAAATGGATGAGGACCCTCGGCCTGTATGCCTAGGCGGTATGCCCAGGGGAGGGAAGGAAAGGGTCGGGAGGCAGGAAGCGGATCGCACTTACCACTGACAGCGATGAGGACGTAAGTGGAAGTCGAGACCGACAACCTATTGGCTCAATCGAATTTTGGCTTCGAGGAAGGTGCGTTGATGGCAATTGATGAAGGTTTAATGGCGGGAAAGAAGAATCGGCGGTTGTCAATCAAGGACTTTCGTGATGTGGTTTGAAGAGAAAGAGAGATCGAGGGATAAATTCGAAAGTGAGGCAAGGTTTTTGATTCCCAGGGAAAAGATCGGATGGAAGGTGATAAAAAAAACAATAGATGACCAGTTGCTATTGTGCTATTCAGGTAGCATGAATAGAATAGTAAGCTTTCTGGAAAATAGACAAGTGCTCGCGCCTTCCTGCCAGACTTCAGGCACAGCGACCACAAGCAAGTACGATCACAGAATGGATTTGGAAGCACACCTCAGTAATAACATGTTGTCATTCAAGCCTCTCATCCGAGGACTGAGATACAGCCCCCAGGATCATGAATCAAGCTCTCTCCTCCCGGATTATCCTTCCTTTTTACACCTGGGTTCATGAAACAACGTGCTCGAAGAATCTGCCCTCGACATGAGTCTGAAAGCTCCCAATCATTCAATCCATCATTACCAAGTCTTCCAAACCTTCTGTTTCATCCTCACGATCAATTCACCATTGCGGGTTGCTGGGATACAGTCTGGCCTTTCTCTTCCACGTGTTTTCCGCGCGAAAAGCGTCGTTCGTGCTGTTGTCTGCGGCGCCTGCTTCGCACAATGGCTGCCACGAAGGCACCCAACACACTCAGAAGAGTGAGCACCAACGAGTATAGGCCGATGAGGAATGCTAATATCTCGGCAGTTTCATGAAGCGGCGGCCTCGCAAAGTCCAAGGGGATATTGTTGTTTGGACCCTGCCGTGTGACTGTCAACTCGGCGCACGCAATCGTCACAACGAGCAGCACGGCTAGCAAGACCGCCCAGGGGATGGTCCACAGGCTGAATTGGGCTGGCGTGGTTGTCCTGCTCCGGTACCGATGCTGGATCGCCCTCGACTCGCTGTGACAGATGCAGTCGAGAATTTCCTGCGTGTGAAATCCTCGAGCCTTGCGAGAATACCCCGGCGAGCTGTATATGTCATACACGTACTCGCTTTGGCCAGACTCGACCGAACCCTTGCCTCGCCGCTGCTGCCAGCCCTTCAGTCCGACAGCACTAGGGCCCAATAAGCTGACGGTGAGAATGAAGAGACCGAGGGCCGTCGTGAAGACTGCCACCAGGCACACCCCAACCGTCCAAACCCTGAGAAATGTAGCAAATCCATGATCGGCAAATGGCTTCTTGGGAGCGAGAACAAAATAAACCGTGGGCACATTATCGCAGGCACCCCCGGACTTGTTCCCGTTGTACAGGAGGGGCCAGTTGAGCGCTGCGGTGCCGAACATATACATGGACCAGATCAGGAGACCGAGGGCCGCCGTCATCTGGTCCTTGTAGCTAGTGGACAAGAGGAAATGGCGCAGTGCATGCTTGGGTCGTCGTGCCTGCCGGCGGATCCGCAGTTCTTCCGACGCAATAAGCGCCACCTCCTGCTCGGTCGCTCGCGCCTCGGCAACCGTCTGTTGCGAGTGTACCATCGCAGCTACGTACAGGTCGCGGAGCTTGTCGATGTCGGCGCGCGTGGGCGCCGCAGCGATCTCCTCAATGAGCTCGTTGTTGTACACCGTCGTGACAGCGCCACCATCACCACGACTCGCGCTATGCTCGGGATCCCCCCTAACGTCGATTTGATCGTGCCAGTGCGATACGTAGTGCTGCACCGCCTGGCTGAGAGTTGCCTGCGCCTCGGCATGGTCGCGCTCGGTCTCTTCTGCTGCGGCGTGCAGCGCAAACGCCTTGAGGACGTCGGCGTAGGCGCGAGCCCGTGCAACATCAAGTTGAGTCACCGCGGCCTGCCGACACCGCTGCAGCCGCTCCTGGTACTCGGCATCCGATTTGGTATGGGCCACTCTATCGACGACAAGTGCTTGGCGGAACAGAACCGTGAAGAAGAAATAGACTGGATACCAAAGAACGAGCTGGATCAAGACGGCATAGTCGATGATGATCAAGCTGTAGTCGGCGACGTTGAGGAACATGGACAGGAACAAGGCCAGGGCGAGAATACCCCAGGCGCCGTGCCAGAAGCGGAACTGCTTGTCGACGCTGAACAATATGGCCACGATGGCAGCGGCGTACAGCAGGTAGAAGCCAATGCGGATTCCGGCGCCGATGAGCATCTGGTCGCCAAAGATGTGGCATGGCATGTAGGACGTCACGGCACTTTTTTCGTCGGTCCCGACGAAGCCAGTGCCGGTGATGCCCACGAAGTAGCCCATCGTGGACACTGAGTTGGTTGTTGTCGATATGGAAAGAGCAGCTACAGTTTGTTTTGGATGTTGACGTCCAAGAGGAGTATGTAAGTGAGTTCAGGGGATTTGGCATGAAATCCCGAGTCGCATCCAGGGTCGGCAGAAGGCAGGTGCCTTGTAGGACAACCTGCAATAAACCAGGTTGGTCCGTCGACTAGCGATGATGTGTGACATCTGGTCATCTGCAGCCCAATGTGACACAGATGCCGGCGTGCGACGACGACGCCGAAGTCAAGGCAGTTTGGTCGAGAATGCGCGCACAATCTAGATGGTGATTGGGCACCTACAGCATTATTGAGATGGCGGCTTGGCGTGACTTGTCCCTGATCGGCGGTGTGCAGTGTGCCCAACCTCCTGCTCAACAACTCACAGGTCACCGACACAATTCATCACGAGGTATCGTCGATGTGGTTGGTTCGGGCCGCGGCGGGGTTGCATTTCGGGGCGTTCACGACCAGCCCATCATAGAGCGCCACGGACGCCCATCGGGAGGTTTGGATGACGATTCCCGCCATGGAAGCCGTCGGAAAGAGTTTGCAACTTAATCAAGGCCGCTTGCCTGTTCCTGGGCCAGGCCGTTCCCCATTCCGAGGGCGCATTTTCTCAGGCACATGCGACACACCTTCCGTGTTCTTGCTTCAGTTAGACCTCCAAACCCAGGATGCGCCATTGCAAAGCTCAAGTTGCCCTAACAGCGTTCCAGCTGCTGGTCGTGGGCGCTGCGCAAGAGAACGAATTCTTTCGATGGAGCAGCCCTAACGCAGATGTGGCGGCCAACGTCCGTCGTCAGACGCCGCCGCCGGGATACCATCCCGAGTTTGGCTCCTGCGGCAGCGGCACGACTTGCGAAGATGCCTGCGGGCCGAACTGGGAATCGTGCGACGCCTCGACAACGCTGTCGCTGTTCTGCTACAACCGGGTTGATCTAAACCAAACGTGCTGCGCGAACGGGTCTGGGCGTGAGTCAACACCCAGGATGCAACATGCAACTTCGCCACCTCGAGGCAGACGAAAGACCGCGTACTGACTGTGCTTTAACCAGGAGCATGCGAGAGTGGCTACTATTGCGCCTGGCAGGAGTTTGGCGGGAGGGTGTGGTGTTGCGAAAATGTGAGAAGATATCTCAATCAGGGTCAAGTTGCACGAGCTGACTGTTGTAAAGGGCCAAAGCTTGGAAGAGTGTGGTCTCCCAGGTGGAACAGCCACGACCACGATCTCAGGAGGCCCGTCCTCAACCTCGTCAAGCTCTGGGCAAAGCGACACGACAGGAACCGGCACGAAGACGGATTCATCCGCTATAACTTCAACATCGCAATGTCCCGCAGTATCCACGGTCACGTCCTGGGCAACAACGACAGTCATATCCACTGTCAGCGTGCCTGTTACGGTCACAGCGAACGAGGGATGTTCGTCGGGCTCATTGTCAATGCCTTCGTCAAGCACGGGGTCAGCTACGGCAACGACGTCGGCGACCGTCACAACACAGCCCCCGGCATCTTCTAGTACTGGTACGGCAACTCGTACAACAGCGGTATGTGAGCCGCTGAGCCCTTGTTGGTACTGGGATGCATCCCTGACTAACTCCGTTGTACTGTAGCTCAACTCGACGGCTCCAGTAACATCGATAGTGACTGCGGGAGCTGGAGAGGTCAAAGCAAGCCTGTTTGTTGTGGCACTGGCAGGACTGGGTTCTGTGATTTACTGTAGACATCTGATGGACTGGCTGTCTTGAGACAGAAGCAGGGTGTGCGATGTGGAAGTTTTGGATGCAGGTGGTGATTTGGATACCCGATACCCCTTACTTAGTCGTGTTTGCTGGCAGATTTTGTCCTGAACCTTAACACTGAATAACCGAGCTACTTGAAAATTTGCCCATGCATACAGGCACTGCCTCTTGCCCCTTTTCTTACGCCGCCCTCTGCGTCCCCAGCCATTCCTCATACCTCGCCTTCTGCTTCTCCCACTCCTTGACCAACTTCTTGCGCCTATTCTTAGACAACGCGTTACCCCCAGCATCCACTGTCGGAATACCGCTCTCATCCCACTGCAAGTACTCGCCCGAGGTCTTGAACATCACCAACGGGTCAACCTTGGCGCGCTCGCGCAGCTCCTTTCCCGCCTCTGCCTCCCTGACCTGCTGTTCCAGCTTGGCCCTGGCCTTGGCAGCGCCGGCCGATTCCCGCTCCGCGCGCTCCTCGACCAACGACTTATCAAGGGGTCGGACTAACGCAGGGTGCGGGCTCGCGCGGTCCTCGAGATAAATGCCGAGGTTCCAGAGGTGTACGTCGCGCAGCTGGTCGCACAGGGCGAGGAGGTCTTTGGCCGGCGCTTGCCGCGCCGCGAGTGCCTTGACGGCGGCGCGGGACTGCTGCAGCACATCGTTGTATGGTCGGGAGGATTTGTCTACTGGTGATGACGCCGTGATGGTGGCTCCGTCAGCGAGTTCCGCGATGGCGGTGTGATCGACCGAGCCGGAGCAGGCCAGCGTCCGGACCTTGTCACGCAGCTGTGAGGCGGGGTAGACGTAGGGCTTTGCCGGGGCGGGGATATCGAGGCCTGACCACCCTATACGATCCGGATTGCTGAGATCTCCTTCGGGATCCAGGCCGAAGATGGTGACAATGCGTGTCACCCACCGGGCGAGCGAGATGATGGTCTGGTCGGAAAGCGAGTCTGCCGAGTTCGCCTCGGTAACTAGCTCAGAGAGAATTCTCATGGCGGTAGGGGTGTTGAAGGAATCGCAAAGAGCTGCATCGACATCGGTTTTCGCCTTGTCTAGGGCCATCAACAACTGCTTGTCTGCGACGCCAAGTTCCTGCCCCGTCACCTCAGGGCGAGAATGCTTCCAAATGTCCAAGCTTTTCAGGAAAAAGTTGTTGAGCTTGCCTTCCCAGCCTTCATGAGGTCGTCTGTCACCTCAATCCCATCCTGCCAAGGCATGAGAAGGAAGCAAATCCGGAGTGAACGTGCACTCCACTCGTTCTGGGAGAGAGCAGCCCGAATGGTCGTGTAATTCTTGAGGCTCTTGCTCATCTTCAACCCTCGAATTCTGCAGTGTCATCCATTAGTACCTTTGTACGGCGGCATTCTCATTCGAAACCTCCTTACCTCAGCTGTCCCATGTGGACAAAGTAGTTTGTCCACTGCACCTGGCAGCCCAGAGTCGACCAGTACGCTTCCGACTGTGCAAGTTCGTTGTCATGGTGAGGGAAGCGGAGATCGGCGCCCCCTGAATGGATGTCGATTGTCTTCCCAATCACGTCCGAGGCCATTGCCGAGCACTCGATATGCCACCCTGGCCGCCCACGACCCCACGGACTCGGCCATGCCGGCTCGCCCGGTTTGCTGGCTTTCCACAGCGCAAAATGATTCTCGCTCCGCTTCATCGACTTTCCCTTGGACAGGGAGACTTCGCCATCGGCTTGGAGGGCGCCGTCGTTCTTGTTCCACGGCTCCAGGCGGGCGTAACTGTGCCCGGCCTTCTCGAACGAGTCGATGTCGAAGTAGACGGAGCCGTCAGGGGTAGCGTACCCGAAACCGTTTGCCACGATCTTTTCAGCGAAGCGGATAATCTGAGGGACGTACTCGGTCACACGAGTCAGGTGGTCAAGAGGCAGAACATTGAGCGCCTTCATGTCCTCGAAGAAGCGGCGTTCGAATTTCTGGGTTAACTCCAGGTAGATCTGGTGGTTGTTGGAGTCCATCTTGGCACCATGCAAGCGATCGAGCTATGGGAGCAAGACACCTTCCGTCTTGGCAAACAATTCCGAGTCAGGCAGCGCTGATCGGGCTTGCAGAGCCTCAGCAGCCGAGCGTGCCGTTTCAATGTGTGCTCTCAACAGCAGGTTGGCAACGGCAACAGCCTGGCCCTGCTGTGCCGTCTCAGCGTCCGCGGGAGCTGGAGGCTCGACCTGGTCTTTGTATGCCTTGCCAACTGCTTCGGAAAAGGTCTCTGGACTGGTATCCCGGGGAAGCAACGGAAGATTCCTGAAAATGTAGTGCAGGAATGCCTCTTCGGTCTTGAGGAAGAGCATGAATAAAGCCAAGACTTTTCCAGACTCGCTCGCAGAGTACTTGGCGGCATGTTCCTGCTTGAAGCGCGAGAGCAGGTGCTGCTGGCGGGCCCGGAGAATGATCTTGTCGTCGATGTCGGTTGTGTTCATAACGAACTTGACATGGAAGCCGAAGTAGTCCTTCATGATGCGTCAGATGATGTCGGTCGACACGTAGTTCTTGGCGTGGCCCAGGTGCGCATCTTCGTACACAGTCGGGCCACAGGCGTACCATGTCACCACCTTCCCCGTCGGATCGACTGGGACAAAGTCATCCTTGTTCCTCGTCAAGCTGTTGTAGATCTTCAATCGGGGCAGCTGGGCGTCAGGACGGGCTTGGGGAGGGGTCCATGGCGGCTGCTTGCGAGCGTCTGAAGCCATACTAGGTAGTATTCGGGGATCTCAGCATCCAAAAGCGAATTATCGATGGAAGAATGACAATGTTACTTTTGGCAGGTTAAAACAGACGACTTGACTCAGCAGTGCGATCGAATTGGCGTGGCTGACCTATACTTTAGCTGTTGTGTTTGGCAAGCTGGGGAAAGGGGGATTGACTCACCCGAGGGCCCCCAATTCCAACTTAGAATAGGTATATCGGTGTTGCTAATGAAGAGGGAGAAACGGGAGGAAAGATCAACCGAGAACAAACGACCCGACACTCTGGTTCAGCCTAGTATATTCTCAATATATGATTGGCTAAGAAGGTGTTGCACGAGGTTGGCCAGCGTCCCAGCCGAAGCCACACCGAAGACGGCGATATGTCTAACACGTGGGGGTACGAAGACTCAGTACTGAAACCTTCGAAGACGAAAAGTGATAAAGCGAAGTGGAAGATGGTGTGAAAAGGACGAGAATACTCTGTCGGGACAAGACTCGAGAATGTCAGTTGTGGGCCGCGTCGGGTCTGTACTCAGGCAGTTGTCAACGCGTCGTCTCCTGGGCCCGGGCATTAATGTTGCTTGATGCTTCTTCAAGACCGCCAATGAGTCAGGCCTCATCGCGCCACACACGGCTCGCATCCCCCTGCCACTGCCCGTTTGAGCACAAGACAGCCACCAACGGCCCAACACACAAAGAGGTGGCTTGAGCAGAACTTTTTTGCTCAAAGCTGCACAGTTTGCTCTTTCTTCTCAAAACTTATCTATCTGATACGGCCATCAAGTCTTTCCAATGATGCCACATCCATGGAAAAGTCACATGTAACGAGCTACCAGTGCGATACATGACTTTCATTTCTCCCTGTCTGATCCACCTTCGGTGATGAGAGTTCACTTGCCCTCCTCTGTAGCTTCCCTGCTATGAAGATGCTTTTACAGGGATTCACGATTCATATCCCCTCCTCTGAAGAAGCCTGACGCTTTCCAGATGTCTCATACATGTATCCATCAACTGTTTGAGTTTTAACGCAAAGGTTGCAGGAACGCTCTGACTCGACATCCGTAACACACCGCAACAACAATTGTTTGAGTCTAGAGCTGTCATCTACGGTTTGGCTCCACCTTCCTGGTACAAACGAAGCGGTAAAAGAGGGCTTTCTATTCATCATCATTTCAACCTTCTTTGCATTCCCTCATCATGTGCTCGCCAAAGGTCCACGTCAATGATTCAATCCAGGTCATCAATGACAAATCCTGATTGATTGGTGATCAGCTCCTGCTATCTCGTCAACCTTCGGCCTCCCACGACCAGCCCTCCTGGAGCGATGGTCAAGGAGGCTTCTTCGTCCTCTCTGACGCTCCGTCAACTTTGCCTGAATGCCATCCTCACCCGGCGGATTCGCCCGACCTGCCCCGTGTGTACGCTGCCGGGGACCAGTCAGCAGTCTGGCGTGCTGGCGAAGCCTTCCTCAAAGTGCACGATATCCGGTTTCCCCAGGTGACCAGAGAGCACGTCATCCTAGAATTCCTGCAGAGCAAAAAGCCTCTTGACTTTAACATTCCCGATGTCCTCTATCACGGCGAGTGGAACGACAGATACTACTTGATCATCAGTCGCGTGCCGGGACAACTTCTCTCAGAAGCATGGCCGGCAATGGACGAGGCCCTGCGACGGCATTATGTTTATCGTGTCGCCAAAATCTGCCGGAAGATGGCCGAATGGAAGCGCGAAGGGGTAATTGGTGGAGTCGACGGCGGCCAGGTGAAGGAGCTGTACCTTAGGAAAGGCGAGTCCCTGGATCCCGAGGACCTCCGCGAGAATTGTGCTGGCATGGGCATGGACACTTCTTGCCTGGTATTCTATCACTGCGATCTTGGCCCGACCAATATTCTTGTCGATCCTGACAGCGGGGGGATAGGCATTATTGACTGGGAAATTGCCGGTTATGTGCCGAAAGAGTGGGTAAGAACCAAGTTTCAGTTGTCTTCGGGAATGGACTTTCCCACGGGGGACGACGAAGATGCAAGGAGAGATTGGCGGCGGATGGTTGCGCGTGAGTTGAAGGCAATGGGCTTCCCTGAGGCCATTGACGGCTGGCTGGGGTTTCAGGAGTCAAGTTGACGGATGAACTAGAATATAATAAGATGGAATTACGCTTGTCAGCCGAAGGACGACAGCGACACGCAACTGGCTCTGGTCAAGGATCGTGAGGAATTTTCAGGGCAGATGGCCAAGAGACCGACAGTGAAGTAGCGCGGTTTAAAGATCCTGAACGCCGGCTGTGAAATACCTGCTTGGCATGCATACCAGGAAGCGCGACGAATGCTGCCCAAACGAGAGAATGCCGATACTATCATTGCAAACCGAGACTATGGTTTGGAAACAGTCCACAGCGATCAACACTCAGCTCCCGCTCCCCTCACCATTACCGTTCCCCACCCCACCGACGGCATGATGGAGCTCAACAATCATCTCCTTCAACTTATCCACCTCTTCCCTAAGCCTCCTAACCTCCGCCACAGCCGGGTCTTCATCCAGATTACTCTTCGCGGCATCGACGCGCTTATTCCAACCATCAGCCTCAAAGTCGACACGATCCAAAATCTGCTCCCACTCCTCAACAGTGTCATCATCGTCGTCGCCGCGGGCGCGGTTGGCGCGTATTTCGGCTGCCGTGCGCATCTCAAAGTAGGACGCGACGAGCAGCAGCGGGAAGTAAATGACGCCCATGACAAAGTCGTTGAGGCGCTCGTACGTCTTCTTGTCCATCCACCACTCGAACGGCAGGGCGATGAGGAATATCTCAATCAGGTTGAAAGGCGGGATGTACACGTTCTCGTCGGGCGCGCGGACAAAGGTCATGGCCTTTTGGGCAAACATGGCTAGGTACTCGTCGTTGGCGTTGTCGTAAATGTCCTCGTACGCCGAGTTGTACAGGGCAATGAGGATGTTAAGGAGTATCACCTAGCAAAAGGTGAGTCAGTTTCAACTCTCCCGGACGGGGGAAACGTGGGGCATCACCAACCATGACGACAAACGTGAAAATGTAGTATAGAATCAAACCAAACGGCGGCTGGAACCTTTCAAAGCCGGAGAAATCAGGGGACTGCATCATGGCGTTGGCCATGGACTGAATGATGAAGCGGATGTCATCAATGGTCCGGTCCTCGGCATAATCGAGGCCTACAAAGGCCTGCAGGAAGCCCGCAATGAGGACTCCTAGGAGAGCAAAAAAGATGATGGACTCCTTCATCATGACCTTGAGCACCACCATCATGGCGCCAAAGAAGCGGAAGCTGTCCAGGTACAACAACAGCCTGGTCCAAAACAAAGGGGCGCAAACGGCCAGAAAGTTGTAGCTCAACTTGCTGTAGTGGTTCCGGCGCCCGTCGGGATCGTCCGAGCTATGGCCCAGGGCGATGAAGCGTAGAATAAGGCTGGTGGTCAGGAGGCCGTACAGGACCGAGTTCAAGGCGTGCCAGAAGCCCAGAATGTGGTAGCCCGCCTTCCAGAACTTGGCCAACTCATCGCAAATAAAACCAAAGGTGAAGACATAGAGGAGACCCTCGACAAAGTCGATGCCCGCGTCGACATTGACCGTGTTCATGGCGCCCGTGTACAGGGCAAGGTAGATAAATGAGATGAGCATCTGCGCGGCGTTCTGGTACATGGGCGCCCGCATGCGGTCCGGGTCGAGGTGGGCAATGTACGACTGGTTGTCCTTGTCCTTGTAATCGACAAAGGTGGCCGGATCGTCCTCGTCCTGAACCAGCCACCCGCGCCAGATGTAGTTGATGCACTTTTGGTAGCCAGACGAACCAATGACGCGCAAGGCGTGCAGGTCGACCGCCTTTTCAATGACATTGACGGGCTTCGTTGGCTGTCCGTTGACCAGGATCGAGTAGCGCTTCAGCAGGACCGAGTGCATGAGATGGTCATGGTCTTGCTCCGACTCAATGCTGTTTTTGGTGTTAGCAGATTGGCACTAAGAGCAAGACTGATTGGGGATCCTCTCGTTTACTTGCATTTGTTTGGCGATGACCTCGCACGCCGTGGCGCGGAGTTGGTGGAGGTCGGCATCCCACAGCTCCATCAGGGCCTGGTGTTTCCACCAGCGCTTGTTGATGAGCAGGCAGAACACGACGCAGGCGCCATGGTCACTGCCGCCGGCTTCCTTGGCCGCCTTGATCACCTTGGGCGTGATGACCTTGCTGTGCGGGTGTGTGATTTGCTCCGGATGCAGCTCGCATGGCACACACTGCTCGATCAGATGCCGGATACGAAGCGCTACTTGGGTGACTTCTTCTGCCGGGATTGCGGACTCGATGCCGTCACTGTTGTATGTTGGAAGGACTGTTGCAAAATTCTACAGTCAGTTTTCTCGAGACAAAATGGCCAGGCAGTCGGGCAACGGCAAGGGGCACTTACGGCTTCGAGACTCCTCCCACCAGTGCTCATGGGGATGGCGGTCCCAGCCAAGAAACCGGCTCCAATTAAGCCTCCTCATCCTTTCAGTGCTCGTCGACGGCTTAATCTATCCACTGCAGCCCCTTTGGTTGCGCTATCTGGGTTATCGACTCGAGAAGCTCCAAGGACCAAGGCGGGCGCCAACCGGTGGATGTGAGGGACAGAGAACCTCCAGCTCGCGGGGCTTTGCGAGAAGATCGAAATCGGAGCTGTGTCCGAACGGCAACCGAGCACAGCAACGGGGCAATGCGGGCAAAGAGAGAGCACGAGGATGGGGACGGGGTCCGAGGGAGAGCAAAGGGATAAGAGCAAAGTAACAGCTCCCTGCGTCAATGGGCTCTGGCGTCGAAGCTGCGCGCCAACTCTCCATTTCCATCCCATGAGGAGAAGCTGGAGAGTTTCAGATGACGTAAATTTTAGCGGGGCACTTGCCAGTGATGTCAATTATCGAGTGCCGGATCCCCCTGTGTGGCTAAAAATATGGATCGACCCGCTTTTCTTCCAGTGGACAAAGACGCTAGCCGTGGTTCTGGGACTGGGACAAGCACTTCTGTTCGGAAAACAGGACTTTACACCGACAGGAAGAAACCTGATCATACCCATGCCTATAAAGTCGCCGTTAGGAAACAATACCTTTGGATAGTAGCCTGCACTGGCATCCAGCTCAAGTGCTCAAGTTACCCTACTTGACGGGCACCTGAGGGTGCTGGGACTGACACTGACACTGACACCCCTGCAGATCAGGACTGGTCCAGTTTGGCGCCATGGATTACAGAGACAACCACGGCCCGTTCCGAGGCCGCCTTCGCCTCGGGTGCCACAGACTTGGAACGCACGCATGCCCACACCCACCGTCATCCAAACGAACCACTTTACAGAGGATGGATTGATAAACAACAACTTGGAAAATACAATCGCTTGCTACATCCACACCCTTCTCTCCCGTTGATTGTCCTCCCTGGCCTCAGATTGTGCCCGAGTGGATCTTCAACCACCACACAACTGTCTCATACATCCGACCCGGACCCCGCTGGAAGTAAAGTCAAAGCCCCAAGAAAAAAGGACAATTGGCAATAGACAGTAGGAAAGAGGCAAGGGATGAGACTCTGACGATTCTGATTGGCTAAAAGGATATCAACTTGACTGTTGGGGGAGAACTGCAGCACACCGTCTCGCTAAACGCTGGTAGGAAAAAATGAAGGAAATAATAAAAGGAAAAAACTACCCACGAAAACGCTGCCAGACTGAAGCCAAGCCAAGCCCAGGTTCCCTAAAAGTAACTCCTCATGGCATCCTGATAACCCGTGCCACCCTTGAGGTCTCTCTCAAAGCTGATCTGGACTTCAAGGACCTGCCGGATGTGGCTCATTGCGAGCGGTTCGCCTTTGTTCACCGCCAGGGCCTGCGCGGTGCGGACCGTGTTCTTGATCTGTCGCCCGTTGAGCTCGTGCCGAGCCAGCAGGTTGTAGTCCTCCTCGGTGAAGGGCATCAGGTTGACCTTCTCCAGAACCCGCACGCGCTCGATAAAGATCTTGAAGATAGCCTTCTTGGCACGGTGGTCCAGGTTGTCGTACCGCAGCGCAATGTGGATGCGCGATTGGAAGGCGTCGTCAAACGTCTCGACTCGGTTTGTGGTCAAGAACAGGATGCCCTGGAAATACTCGAGCTGACGTAGGAAGATGCTGACGAGAGCGTTTCGGTGAATGTCGTGCATGTTCCGCTTCTCCAAGAAGACATCGGCTTCGTCCAGGAGGAGGATTGCGCCCCAGGCATGGCAGATATCAAGGATCTTCTGGAGTTCGCTCTCCAAGAAGCGCGAGTCCGTGCCAAGCTCGCCAGCCGATACCATGTAGAGCGGACACTTGAGGAGTTCCGAAATGCCTTCCGCCGTCAGTGTTTTGCCGGTTCCGGGAGGACCGTGAAGGACAGCTGCGATCCATGTTAGCAGGGGTGGGTTTCTACAGCACTGTGTTGACTCTCGACATACCGACTAGACCCTTGCCCTTGCCTTGAATGACATCGTCGATGCTTTCGGCCGCATGATACTTGTGGGACTCGACCAGTGCCTGGATCCAGTAAGCGCCTGATCAAACGACGAGCCGAAACAAAAAGGGGCTGACACACCTTGACTATATCCTTCGTCTTGGGTTCGAGCACAAGGGACTCGTAAGCAGTTTCGTTCCACTGAATTTCCTTGACACCAGAAACGGTGAACTCTAACCAAAGCTTCTCTGCAAACGCAAACCCAAGCACTACTGGGGATGCAATCAAGTACTCCTCGTCGGTGAACTCGGGTGGCTTCTTGTTGTCTTCCTCGGTGGCTGTTGTCTCTTCGCCGTCATTTTGCGCGGCCTCCTCGTCCTTAGCGGGTACTTGGTCGAGCTTCTCCTTCCCTTCTTCCTCGTCGTCGAACTTGGCCATGCGGTAATATTGTATATTACCCTTTCGATCCTTTGTAACCTTGGTCACATACTTGATCTTCTCATCGCCGTCGACCCTCGCATCGGAATCGCAGCCGCATCCGGATTCGTCGTCAGAATCCTCGTCGTCAGAGATGATATCATGGTCCTTGGGCCTAACGAGCGAGATGGGGTAATTGGGGTTGATGCGGCGGTGAATGCTGGGATCCACCATGATGCGTCCGTTGATATTGACCTTGATGATAGCCCGCTTCTTCTTGTAGTAGGCCATTCCCTGGTGGCTTTTGTAGTGCACCCCGCTCAGGGCCACGAATTTCTTGCCACGCTCAATCAAATCACGGCGCAGCTGGCTCTCGTTCTTGTGGTACTTGAGAGGGTAGCACCCGAGGCTCGTGATTTTACGCGCCCCACGGAAGTCGCCAACCTCCTCAGACATGCTTCCAAACCCGAACTGCTTTCCATCGTACTCGAAGTACTGAGTAGCAGAAGACGAAAGATTAGCACATGGGCCGAGAGCATCACAAGAACCGAACGACATACCTTGCCCTCAATGTGGTAGTATTCACCCTTCATGATACTATAATGTTTCTCTGCCATCTCGACCTTGAACACGCGCGGTTCGTCGTGTGAACCGTATGTGGTTGTGTAGGCCAGGGTATTGGGTTTCCACAAGGCCCAGAGGAGGTCAAATGTGATGAGGCCATTCTCCAGCATGGGGTAAAGACTGCGGACAGTATTAGCAGCGAGAACAGCGCAAAACAGCCCGAAACGGAGGCGGGGAAACCCGTCGCATACCTGTTCTTGGTGTCTGCGTAGTCTTTATCGATGTACTTGAGGAGCACTTTCAGATGCTGGCGCTTGGTCTCGATGCGCTTCTGTTCCTTCTTCCGATCGTGCTTGTCCCCCTTGACGGCTTTTCCCTTCTTCTTCAGCTCCTTCATGTGTTTACGGAGGTCCTCGAGGTACCTATGACTGTGAGCCGATGGCGGTCACGGCAGGAAGGGACTAATTGAGAAAATACTTACAGAAAGAGCATGTTTGGGTCGAGCTTCGGCGTCTCCTCAACCAAGCTGACGCCCTTAATGTTCCCCATCACGTCCTGCAGGCACTCGCGAAGGAGCTTGCTCTTAATGTCGACAATGGTCGCCTTATACTTACCCTCCCAATCGAAGGTGCGGCGGACGTGGAATATGAACTCATCGTACTGAGCGTCAACGGTGCCCTCAGTAGTGTCCTGGAGCTTGTAGTTGTGGATCGTGTTGTCCCAAACTTGATCGACACGTTTATAATCTAGCTTGGTGGCCTTTTGCCGTTTGCGCTTGTCTCTCTGCTGCTTTCCATCAAGTAGAAGATTGGGATCGAGGCCACCAAGGCCGAGGCCCCGTCCAGAGGAGTGGTGCCCTCCACGGCGGGCACGTGGCGGGTTGTTACGCAGACCAGTGTCATAGATGGGTGGAGGGATGCTGTTGAGGCCTTGATTGTATTGGTGACCGCCGGGTGGATATTGATATGAGCCGCCCCCTTGGTGCTGCTGCTGCTGCTGCTGCTGCTGTAGGAGAAGGAGCTGGAGTTGTTTCGCCAGGCCTGACTGACTCTGGCCGTCGTCCTCATCGGAGCTATCAATGTCCCCGCTTGCAGATGAATCTGAATCGGACCCTGATGTGGAAGACTCCTGCGCCCTAACAGCCTTCTTCTGCTTTCTTGCGCGCACCTTCTTCTTGGTCTTCTGCTCGTCTTGCCGCCTCTTCGTCACGCGCTTCTTCTTGGCGCTTTCCGACTCGGACTGACTGTCGTCTGACTCAGAATCGGACGATGTAGCGTCTCCGCTGTCGCTGCTGGCAGAATCGGAGGCTGCGTCGTCAAGAGATGTCTTCTTTTTCGGCTTTTTCTGCTTGCTCGTGGCGTGTTTCTTGGAGCACTTGTCCTTCGCCGGCTTCTTGTTCCCGTCGGTCCTATCGCCGGCCTTTGGTTCTCCATCGGGAGACTTGGTGCCATTCTCGACAGCAGGGGCCTTGGGTTCCTCGCTCTTAGCAGGCACCGGGGGGTTCCCCTCCCGAACGTCAGCCGAGGTCTTCTCTTCAGAGTCCATACTGTATTCTTTGAAGCGATGACTGGAAAGTCACTAAAGACAAGCTCGTGCCGGCTTCTCCCGGGTTACTATGGGCGGCTCGCCGAGTTCGGCCGCCAAAAAATGTGCGAACTGCGAGATGCGAGATGCGCAAAAAGCAAGCAGCGCCCGAAGGAGACAAGAAGGGCTGAGCCCTGGGCAGGTTTAAAGCGCCGTGTAACAAACGTGCGCGACGTGGACGGTAGTGGACGGCAGGAGAACTGCAGAACCAGCTAGGACCGGGGAAACGTCCGCTGAGGGACAACAAATGCTCGGCGAACTGCTGCGGGATTGTATGTGGTCAGTCGGCACGCTATGTATGTACGCAAACAAACTGGCAGCCAACAGGGACCGGCAGTGCGCTGCAGTTGAGGAATTGGGCCAATGGAGCGCAAGAGATGGATGCATCACAAGGGAGGAAACGGAGCGCAGAACGTGGCATAATGGGGGTCGGCAAAGGGCGATAGAGAGACAAGAGGGGATTGCGAAGGTGGAATACACATTACCTACCCGCTTCTGATGACTTGGGTGGTGTGTCCGAAGCGCGGAACTGAGTTGCTGCAGTGCTCGCTAGTCGACGCCGTCTAACTGGGTAGCGCGAGCAAGTGCGATGCAGAGTGAGGTGTTCGCAGGGCACAGGTTCTGCAAGAGTCGGTGTGAGAGCTGAGAGAGGGAAGCGAAGGGTGCGCGAGACCGAAGAAGTATGGTCCTTTCGCGGGTGCCAAGATTCGAAGCCGACTGGGGTGTGTGCTTGAAAGTCGGATGGTTTCGGTGCCGAGCTCCCTTCCCAGGGTGCTTTTTTATGATATGAACCACCGTCTACGGATACCAGGTAGCTATCCCGTTCAGCTGTGGTACGTGGTTCTGCGAAGTTTTGGCCAGGTTGATTGGCGTTGGCCACTGCCCTCTTGCTCGTTGATCGCTCTGCTGCGCTTGCCCGTCGGAAATCGCCCAGGCGGCAGAAACAAATAAGTTATGGAAGGTTTGAGGGGCGGGCTTTTGGGATGAAACCTAAGAATATCTCGTACACCTATGGGATGGGATGAAAGATGGCGATTGCTCGGTTTAAGTATGTACACGTCCGTCCAAACTTGCGTTTACCTAGAATGCAAGGCACGCCCGTTACATGGCGCGGGCCTGCTCAATCACCGCCTGCAAAGGGCTGCAGGATGACAAGCGCGCTGTCGCCTTCTGACAGCCTTGTTCTCAGCGATTGGATGACAGTTTGCGCTTGAGTGGAGGTGACAGGCATCGTGCCGTCGCCTGAACTGGATCCTATGTTAGGTTGGCCGTGCGTTTTGTATGCCCTCCCGTCATCGGGACAGGATGGTTGATAGGCGTCAGTGGCAGGGCCGCAGGATGCCTGCCTGGAAGGGAATCTGGACTCTACCGCTGTGGGAACACGGGGTTAGGAATGGGGAAACGGGGCAGTGGGGCACAGCTGGGCGTGCGCCACGGCTAGGGATTCCAGCGACAGGGATGGATGCTAAGGCCCCACAGCGGGCCAGCTTGGCATGCTGTCCCCGACGTCCTCAACGCCTTGCAACAGGAACACCAACAACTCTGACCCCAACAAGTTTGATCCAACCACCGTGATGAATCCAAAGAGCGTTCAGCGTGACTGGATTTCTAACAACTAAGCCAAGGCAGCAAAGGAGCTGCATGCTTCTCGCCATCAGGCAACCACGAGGCTGAGTCGTCTGAAAAATCCAATCAATTTACAGAGCTTTACCTTATCTAGCCGGCAATTCCGTTACAGGGCTGGAAACCCAGATTGACTTAGCTAATGTTAACAACCTCCATCGCAAAAATATTGAACCTGGGGTGGAGGTTGGCGCCGTGGCCATGAGCCAGATTGGCGGATCCGCTGGGCAAGTAGGCATGGACCGCTTTGTCGCCGGATGAGTCTTGGACGATTCCGTCAGTCGGTTTGTCATATGAGTGCATAGTGCGTTGGGTTGTCGTAACTGTCGATTTGTATCCTAGTTATTGAGAACCTGGAAGTTGTGTTCTTGTGGTGGGAAGTTGCGATTAGGGTGGCCCCACACGTGACTCGGGCAACACATCCCTAAAACCAGTGCGTCTTCGAAATCGATGTGTTCCACATCAAAAGGTCCCATGTCTAATGCCCACCCAAATCCCCGATAGGGCGCGATCCGAATTCCGACATGAGCAAGCGAAATTGCCATGACAGCAAAAAAGAGGAAAGCGCCGGGTGATACGAGCAGCGGAGCCGATCACCAATCCCCTCGGCCGATCCCGAACCTCGGCCCGTCCCGCTACCCTCACCATGCCCCGGCCGATGCGTTTTCCGATGGCTACTTCCGACGTCTTTACAGCTCCGAGCTGGACTTTAGGCAACTCGCAAAGCAAAATGTAGACTTTGCTGCTGTGTATGTAAGCTACCTTTTCTCTGACTAGTTCTCCGCCCTCGCTGACAGTGATGGCGCTCAAGCCTGGGTGAAAATGGACAGCTGGACTTCAGCGACCCGGCAGCGACTATGCAGCTCACAAAGACGCTGTTGAAGGTTGACTTTGGCCTGAAGCTAGAGCTTCCAGACGACAGGTTGTGTCCTCCGGTCTGGCCCCCGTTGCTCCAAATCCAGGTACAGGCGATGGCTGACCCTCAAACCAGGTTCCAAACCGCCACAACTATATACTGTGGTTGAAAGATTTGCTGGACACGAGTTCGTACGACCAGCCTGGTGGTAAACTGCTCGGGCTTGACGTTGGCACAGGCGCAAGCTGTATCTACCCTCTCCTGGGGACCACCCAGCGACCCTGGTGTTTCATTGCAACAGGTCAGCCGAAGCTCTTAACCTGGCCGAACTATGATGTTAACATGCCCCAGATATTGACGCCAAAAGCTTAAGCTATGCCAGGAAAAACATTGAGCTCAACGGTCTAAAAGGCCGGATCCGGCTTGTCGAGCGGAAAGCTGAAGACACATTGGTGCCGCTTGATGAGCAGGGTATTCAGTCCATCGACTTTGTCATGATGAACCCGCCGTTTTATAGCTCGGAAGATGACATGCTAGCATCAGCAAGGAAGAAGGCGCGGCCCCCGCTCTCGGCATGCACCGGCGCTCCAGTGGAGATGGTCTGCGACGGCGGTGAGGTTTCCCATGTCGGCCGGCTGCTGCGCGAGTCGCTGGTGCTGCGGGATCGGATTCGTTGGTACACCTCGATGCTCGGCAAACTCACCAGCGTTGAAGTCCTTATCGATCAACTACGCCAGAACGGTATCGACAACTACGCCGTTACCGAGTTCATCCAGGGTAACAAGACACGACGGTGGGCATTGGGCTGGAGTTTCGGGGCGATGCGGCCGGCAGAGCATGTCGCGCGCGGTGTAGGTGCGAGAATTCCGAAGAAGATGCTGCCTCCTCCTCTAGAGACGGAGTTGTTAGTGCTATCCGCTGGGGAGGAGCTTGGACCTGTGATCTCTAAACTCAAGGAGATCATTGGGTCACTGGAGCTGATGTCTTGGGTTTGGGAGGACGAGGAATCAAGAGGCATTGGAAGAACCCGAGAGAACGTCTGGAGCCGCGCTTGGAGAAGGAAGAAACTTCGGGAGCAATCGGGCGATGGCAATCGCGAAGACCCAAGTCCAGCAAGCGGTACTTCGGAGGAATGTCGACTGGGCTTCGCCGTTGCGGTCACTGTTGAAAAGGCGAAGACGTCCGTCAGGTTACACTGGCGTGAAGGCCACGAACCCCAGATTTTCGAGAGCTTCGTGGGTTTCTTGCAAGGCAAACTTAAAGACTTGTGCAGGACAATTGAGTGGAGTAAGGTAGGTATCAGTGGGCCCGTCTCTGTTGTGTAATTACCAAAGTAGTGACGGCTGTAATATTACACCGCGGAACCCCATCGCAGAACCGCCCATGGCCTCCAAATAAAGTTGCACACTCAGCCACGGATGGACCGAACTGCGCACCACGCCTCTCTTTCCCAAACACACCATCAATATCTGGGCCCGTCAGAATGTCGGACCAGCAGCAACCAGGGTCCGGGTCAGAGTCGAGATTTACACCGCAAAACAAGACCACACACGAACGGCTGTCAACGAACACCGTCGGGCTCGTTGCCCTATCCGACTTTCGCAAGCGACGCGCCGAGGTACTTGAGCAACAGGAGCGCGAGGCACGAGAATCGGCGCTTGCTCGTACAAATGCATCAACACCAGATCGCTCACTGACCGCGACACCAAACAACGCCGCCAGCAGCGACCACAGCGAGGGGGAGCGGGCAAAGCGGAAAAAGAAGCGCATCACCAAGGCTCTGGTCTCGTTTGGGGACGACGAGGATGGCGGCGACGGCGAGAGCGAGCAGTTCACGGGGAAGAAGAAGGGTAAGGTGAAGGGTGCAAGGAGGGATGAAACGGGCGGCGGAGGCGACATTGAAGAGGTGGCAGCGGCTGAAGGCAATGGCTCAGCCGACGATAAGGAGAAAGGCAACGACAACGACAATGGCAAGGATAGTGAAAAGGACCAAAAACGGCCAGCCAAGGTGGCAGTCAACTCGTCAGTCGGCGTTGTACCGCGGGCGCTGACCAAAGCCGCGTTACGACGGGAGGCGGCCGAGCGGGAGGCGCTGCGCAAGGAGTTCCTGCTGCTGCAGGCGGCGGTCAAGGCGACCGAGATTGCCATCCCATTCGTCTTTTACGACGGCACCAACACGCCGGGCGGCGTGGTGCGGGTGAAGAAGGGCGATTTTGTCTGGCTGTTTCTGGACAAGAGCCGCAAAGTCGGCGCGCAGTTGGGCGTTGGTGCAGACAAGAGCTCCAATGCCAGGAGAGATTGGGCGCGGGTCGGGGTTGATGATTTGATGCTTGTCCGGGGGAGCATCATTATACCACATGTGGGTTTTCCTTTGGACAACTACCTGACGTATCAATTCAGGAGAATAGCTAACGAACAATGTTGCGCAGCACTATGAGTTCTACTTCTTCATCATCAACAAGACGGCAGGGCCGGGCGGTAAGCTCCTCTTCGATTACAGCGCCGAAGTCGTTCCCCGGGCCGATCCTTCAGGCTCGGCGGGTATCAGCGGCGCCGCGCCGCCGCCGCAGGTCCATCTCTCGGAACTCGAAGGCGCGTCGGACGATCCAACCTTCACCAAGGTGGTTGACCGGCGATGGTATCAGCGCAACAAGCACATCTACCCGGCCAGCGTCTGGCAAGAATTCGACCCGGAAAAGGACTACCAGAGGGAAATCCCCCGGGACCCCGGCGGCAATGCCTTTTTCTTTTCGAAGTGAAGGTTACCGTTTGACTTGACACATTCGGCGACTTGACTTGACCGAAGGTTGATTGTGGCGGTCCAGCATTACGGTAGGCGTGACCGCGGAGGGTGGTTTTGTCTGAATAAACAGGTCTGCCTTGCAATTTGTGTGTGAGATCTGTTCGGATTAGCGGATCGTATTCGGCAATGTCTTTGCTTACATTTTCTTTTCAACCAGTGAACTGCCAAATTGCCCACGCCAGAGCAGCTAGCATGGGCCAGCCAGGCCAGAACAGCATCAGGAACAAAGCCCTGCCCCCCGGTCCGAAAAGCAGGACGTAGAACTCATACTCGAGCCCCTTGCGGAAACGCCTCGATCGTTTGCAGTCCCACAGTGTCCGGGTGAGATAGCCTGCCAGCGACGTCGCTTGTGCGGCGAGGATTCTTGCGATGACCAAGCTCCTCCAGGCAATGGCCTTACTTGCCAGCAGAGTGGTCGTTGCGATGAGGCTTGCGGCGAAGAAGGTGCGCACGACGAGGTGGAAGGCGGCCGAGCTGACGAGCTGCTGGAACTGCAGCGCGGTGTTGATAAGGGGGTAGAGGGTCGAGATCACCTCGGGCTGGTGGTGGTGGTGGTGGTGGTTATGGCTGCGCAGCGAAATCCCGGGCGCGGTTCTCGGAGTGGTGAGGAGAGCCATGTTGATGTTGATGTTGATGTCGAGCGCTTGCAGTGGGTTCGGAGCATCGGTGGTGGGTGGTCGTGACAAGCTTTTCTCGTTACTTCTGCATTAGGGGCGCAAGGAGAGGAGTAGCTGCCCTCTTTATGTACTGCGGCATCCTTGGACGGATATATATATATGCCGGGGGTGAAGACTTCTTCGAAACGAAGCATCGTGGACCCCTGGCCCCGCCGAGCGAAAAGGGTGGAATGTCTTGGCAGCCGATCGATACCCGACAATTACATGCCGGCCGTTTCCGTATCCACTTTGCGTCGCATCATGGCTGCAGCCCAGCAAAGTCACTGTCATGTCACCAGCTCGGGCAGGGTTGTTATTGTCTAGGCCCTTTTCCGATGCCGTCGCCACCGTCCTTTGGGATTTTCGGCTGTGATGAGGATCATGGTGTTGCGGGCGTCTCTCGAGAACCCCGCGTCGAAAGACTGACCCACGTGGGGGCCTTGATTCGCGATCTCAGTTTGTGCCCTGGTCCCTTGACCATTTGAGAGTATGCTGGTGGTGGGTGACATTGCGGCTAGCCGCCGGTTGGGGAGGGGAAAGACATGCAGGGTCGACACCATGGGGATTAGCGGCTTTCCGATTGTTGACATGCCTGATATCGCTGATATCGACGCGGAGTTCCAGACACTCGATTGAAACCGAAACCAACCTGTAAGCGTTCATCCGACAGAACCGTGTCTGTTTTAGTGCCGGATCCGCACCGGCTCGGGAGGGGTCGGAGGCGGCCGGGATGCCAGCGGACAGACCACTTTCCCAGAACGTGCCCCAGTCCTGCTGCTGATAGGCTGGCCTGTTCGCCTGCCGATGTGACTTGGGATGCGTGCTGAGGGTGACAGGTGCACCACGCATCAAGCTAGCCGTCGCCACCTAGATAATATGGCTTCGGACACTCCGCGTACACGCCTTGGACCTTTGAGAACAGGTTTTGCAAAGTTGTGGCTTCCTCCTAGTGTTTTCGGATTCCAGTGAATTGAGCTTTCTTTTCTCTGAGCATACCTTAACCTGACTGTACTCACTATCTCTTCATCGCCCTGCGCGGATCTTAGACTCCTTACTACTAGTATCTTACCGCGGAGCTGTGCCGAGAGCTACACACTGGTCACACACTACCAGTAGGTCTTCATACCGCTTACATCTGTCTCTAGCATCTTCGGTGTGCCTGAGCGCACGTAGAGGCTTCTCGCGTTGCTCCTTAGGGCTCAGACTCAGAGCACGGTGAGTTATGCTTAGATAGGTACCTACCTAGGCTTAAGATACCTAGGTACTAATACCTGAACTACTTGTTTTGCCGTTCGCAGGTTCGAGTCTGCTCGATTTAGCATCGGCATGATACAGTTTCTCTAAGCTCGCCTTCCCAAATACCGGGCACTGCAGCTATACCTCCTCTCCATATGATCCTTGCGACTATAAGGTCTAGGAAGGATACAACCTAAACCCCTAAAGCGTGAGGTGGCATATCTTCTATTTAGATGATTCGCACATCCATCCAATTGCTTTGGCTTGTATGACTTAGTACGGTCAAGTATCAAGCATCAAGGAATGTCCTGCCCCTACCATTGTGCACCCTATTCCCGCTCGCGTTCCTTTTTTTTAGCTTATACACCTAACAACTAGGGTATACTTTCTGCTAAAGATAGCCACCAGGAATCAGAACAGGGGACTGAGCCCAACGCGCCGCTCTCCGTGAAAGGAGGTCTTTCAGACGCCCTATACGAGTCCAATTCGGAAGGGATGACCGAGGTTGCAGGCTTGGGGTATCATGAACGTCAGTATCATCTTCAATATAATCTCCAGGGCGACATCCAGATACTAGCAGTGCAGCGATCCCTAGCGCCTGTCCTCTCCGTAATCCTATTCAACGGATCCCAGCCCGGTCAGATTACCTAGCTTGTTTTTTTTTTTTTTTTTTTTTTTTTTTTTTTTTTTTTTTTTTTTTTTTTTTTTTTTTTTTTTTTTTTTTTTTTTTTTTTTTT